GAACCTAAGGGAGCTCCAGTGGTAGTGCTGAGGGTGGTGGAAGGGTGTAAATATAATGAACATTGGGAAACAAATGTCTTGGGGCCTAAATTTATACCCTGAATGACAGGAACTGGGATCTGCCTCTCTCCTGAACTTTTGTGAGGAGCTCCAATTAAACTGTTTCTAACCCTGCTTGATTTACTTTGATGTGTTAGCCAAAACCGTTGAAATACATCGGTGCTCGTTCTGTGCGGACTACTTGAATGTCGTTCAAACTTGAGGTTCGGTTCCCAGAATGCTATTGAATCACACTTTGTAAAGCCTCCCATGAGAACTTGCAATTATTGCCAACCCCTTGCTCATTGTATCCCAGAAGTCTTTCATGTTGTACGCCTCTGTTATGAAAGTAGCAGCTTAATGGTGTTCTGTATTTCACCGTGTTGTAATAAATGTTTCAATTACAATGAAGGTGTTGGAAGCTATTTGCCTAAGATAGTGCAACTGATTAGGTTTTACACACTTCATTTCATTATCTTTATGCTTCCAAGCACTTCTGTGGTGTGGATAGCTCTGGCTATTGTGACTAACTGACCTCCCACTTTTTGTAATGTAACCTCCAAATGCATTGCTGAACTACAATATTAGTAAGCTGACAACAGCATTAAGTGCTTGAAATAAATTGATTCATACCAGTAGGAATGTGTCAAATGACCTTTACAAAGCTCATTACACACTGTGTACATCACACACTAAGAATGTTCTTGTTGTTTGGGGCTTTTTTTCTTCTTCTTCACTACAGCTGGTAATTAAAATCATTTCCATGTGTAAGGTAGTTTAAGTCTCTTCATGTGCTGTGTCAATGGGTCGATAAGTATTTGGAGCATACAGTAGATGCAGGTGATAAGAACTCCAGTCACACTGTGTTAAATAACGATTGTTAGGGTTCTTTCAAAAAAGCAGATTCAAGGGTGAAATTTTTGAGGAAACAAAAGCTATCCTTTTGAAAGTGAATTTTCTATGGCTGTAGATATTGTTACATTTGCAAGTAGACAGAAAAATGCTCCCCGAAAGGCGGGGAAAAATCCATTAGCACTTCTTAAATTTTTAAGAAGTTTTTGATAAAACTTCCTTTCCCTTTAAAATGTAAGTTTGTAATATAGTAGGCAGTAGGCTGAATGAGCTTTCAAGGGAAGGCCAAATTTTAATTTCTATTTGTTGTTTGATAGAAATTAGTAGTGCAGAGTAGTTGTTAGGACTCTGGACTTCTGACTAGACCATCATTGGGTGAAATCCTTGTTGGGATGTTGTTGTATCCTTGAGCTACTTCACTTAAAGTGCTCCAGTAAATGCCTTGTTGTATGAATTGGTACTCTCTAGGTTGTCATTGTGAGAATTAGTTCTCAACTGACTAATTGAGTTAAATAAAGATGAAAAAAGAACTGTGACTTTAAGAGGCCTATATATGGTGTTGATTAGTTTTACTGAGTGAGTATGCAGAGACCAATAAATTAAATATGAATAAATTAAAAATGTACTCTACCAGAAAATTGCTTGGAAAACAACCACCTCCCCAATAAAATATGTATAGTAATGCCTTTTATGTGCGGTAACTTGGGATTAGATATCACTGTAAATTAACATGGCATCAGACCGTAGTAGAGAACTTTTCACTTTTAACAAGGACTTATAAAAAAAGCATTTACTCTAGTGTACTCACTAATTAATTTGATATTTAAATGAGCTGATGTATTATAATTGCAAATATCCTAAATAAGAGTAGTTAAAAAAAGGAATAGTGTCAACAAAGATTGATGAGGCTTGCTTTGAAAATGCCATCTGTTTCCAATGTTGACTTGAGGAGGGGATTTTTTTTCCTTAAGAAATAGACTGCTTAACTAAAGCAACACTGTTTTTCTTCTTCTAAACCGTTTCCAGGCTTCACAATTTGGGGGCAATTGTTCCATTTGCGAGTAAATTGAAGAATCTAAAGAAAAGGCTTCAACTATTGGTCAGTCACAGACACGCACACATGCACACAAATGTGCATTCACACAACTATACTGTGGTCACCTCTTAACCACTATCAGCTGTACCGAGATGGGATATCACAGCAAAATTACAAATGCTGAACTGTGGAAGTGTGAGCAAAAGACCTGCACAGCTGCTAATCAGATTAATGCCAACACCTACAACAGCATCCAAATGATCTGATTAATTGAGGCACCTCTATTAAGGTTATATATCTCCTAGTGATCTCCTACTCGGCCTGCTTAAAATGTCCCCCTTGCTTGGATCATGCAGAGTAGGGGTCATCATTGTGCTTGTTATTATTATTCTCTCGTATCGATACCAACCAGTTTAACTGCATGCTGGTATCATGCTACGGCCAATTGCAGAGACTTGCAGAGGCCCATATTTCTCCATCACCCCCCCCGCCTACGAAGCAATAGTGAAACACAGGGCATATATTTTACTTCCTCCGCTGGTCCTTCTGGTCCTGCTGGTCCTCCAAAGAGGTTCCATGGACCTCCTCTCCCCATCTGTCAGGGCTACAGCTTGCAAGGGAAGGGGGCGATCCGAGGTTCCAAATCAGCGCCTTTCTAATTTATTCTACCTAAATTTCCCATCCCAAGCACAGGCAACATTTGCAGCAACCATGGTGTTTTTGGCAAGGGGCTTTTATAGAGCAAGTCTGGTCGTGTGATGAACGCTAAAGATGTTTCTAAAAATGGCCTTTCTGAGACACAAGCTCTCCATCTATTCATTTTAAGCGATGTATTGTTCCCTGAAGTTTCTAGGACCCTTGATGTAATCTGTGGTAGGTTACTTTCATCCCTCACAACTAAATTTTGGAATTTAAAATATATGTATGGATGAAAAGATTGAGACATGAAGATGACTTGACTGCAAAATCTCATCTCTGCCACTGACATCGCGAGGGGCTTGTCTCAGACTGACCTTATGCAAATTAATTTCTAAGAACAAAAAAGTCAAGGATGAATTAGGGCTTATTTAAATTTGTGTGAGCAGTTCTTTTCACATATTTTCTTTAATATTTTTTGTTTTCAAATGTTGTATCATTAGCACATTGTGAAAACAATACAAATCCCTGTGTCTGTCTCAGCTAGCTATCTTGAAGTGTTGCATCAGGACCTGGGATTGACGATTGTTCTGTGCGATAGGCACAATAGGCAGTGGATTCCGAGATGAACATTGCAGTTATCTATAGGATTATTCCTGGAACAAACACAGCTCTGAATTGTTCTTACTTCCCCTTTTAGCTCCATCTAGTGGAGTTTTTCAGTAATTAAAATCCAAACTTGGTTCCAAGGAATATGCAGTAGTGTGTGACTATACTGTACATGTGAATTGTTGCATAGCACAATTTATTGTACTAGACTTGTACAGTATTTTAAAGAAGATGCATCCTTTATAGTGTACACTCTAATATTTCTTTATAAATTGTTTTGGTTGATCAGAGAACAATCATTGTTTTGAATGTGCACAAAACAAAAATAGAATCAAAGGACAGTTTATGACTGCTTGCTATGTACATCAACAGGTTTTGTAATACATATTACTCTTAATTTTCACTCAAATATTACTCTTACTCAAAATGCAAAATAAATGGTCTTAAATCACATCAGCTAAACCACAATGTAATACTTAAATCATTCCTATACCAGTAATCTCTTATTTTATGTATTAAAATATATATTAAATAAAAACAAAAACAGTATTGCACATAATGCATCTTATACAATTTGAAGATTGTACATTATTTCTTCTATCACAGACATTAAGTCTGCATTACCACACTTGGTGTCTTATACTGTAGACACCTGATAAGTGCTGCCTCACTTTCATCTTTGAGAAGCACCATCATACACTGCTTAAACACCATGGAAAACAACTATTTTCTAAAGATGTGCATAGCCAGCCTTTGAAGTTATTATGGACACATTACACAGTTTTAAAATGATGGGGTGAATCCTGCAAATGGAAAAATGCAGTGTGCAATTTGCTTAAATAGGCTAATGCAACTCTATTCCCTAGTTTGCCTGTGTTGTTGCCACAGCTCTTCCAAGTATAGCAGCACACAAGGCTGATTTTGTCTGCATGGATTTGCATCTAGATGCATAAAGGATGGATTTTATTATATTGACACTGACTTTTAGGGGCACGCTTGAGTACTTAAATATTGTATTTATGCTCAGGATTATTCTGCCAAAGCTCTCTAAAGGGCATAGACCTTTGCTTGAGTGCAATAGCTCTTTAAGGACGTTTAATTCATTCCAAGAATCAAAATGATCAACGTTTTACTCAAGTCAGAATAGTTAACTGAAGTGTTGAAAATTAAAAAAAAACATAATTCAACATTGACGGCTCACTGTTAAAAAGATTTTTATTGTACTCATTTTTACTGTGCCCTTCTAGACAAGTGTTTGTTATATATAAGGTTTTTTTATTTTTCTGATTGTTTAAAATAAACCTTGAAAAATTATTTTATTATTAGAATCTGCAGTATATTGAAGGTGTAAAGCTATGCAAAAGTATAAAGCTTAAAATATCAAATTGTTTATCTACAAAATAGTTTTCTTCTATTTTAGCCCATAAAGTAATTTGGAAGTTAAAACCTTGACATTTAAGTAAACGGAGTACAGTGTTCACGGGGCTATACGCAGATTACCATTAGTTTGGTAGCCCTGTTTACCTATAGGTCATACTTTTTAATACATATTATACGTTTGCTTGAATGAAACTGAGAATTTTTTTTTTCATTTTGCTGCATTCCTAAATTATTTTCATTAAATGGTTTATTTACGCTTATAGCAAACTTTATTGAAGACTTTATTTATTAACTAAGAGACCATTCATTCTTTATTATTGAATATTTTTTCAACTGAAGTGATCATGCTCATGTCTGTACTACAGAGTCCAATTTCATGATGTTAAGCAATGTATCAGCTATAAATCAGATCAAACGCAAACACAGACGACTCTTCAGCAGGAGCAAATACAGAATTACTTCTAAGTAACAAGTTTAATTTCACTTCAGAATTTTGTACAGTAAATCCAACAGCCTTTACAGATGTGCAAACAGCAGATACGATACAGGGTTTTTTTTAGTTTGGCAGAGTAGGATTGAGCCACAACTCTGTATGAGTATTAAGGCTTTTACAGTACATTCAGTAATTGCAAAGTTAAATCCAGCTGTTTTTAATTATCAGGTGTACACATTTTTACATAATATGTCTGTTACATAGAGTTTACCTTTACAGAAAGAAATATCTACCAATAGTAATCCATCCCTGTATTACAAAAAATGTGTATTACTGGTCAATTCAACACCAAAAATTTGCAAACGAGATGTGAACCCTTTCTTTAAGCTCTGCTTATTCTTTTTTAAACAAGATATTTAATTACAAAAACTAAAAGAATGCCTGAACAGGATGTTAAAAATGTAACCAAAGATACAGCATGTACAATCTCATACAGTATAATACAATAAGATACATATAGTAAACTCCATTTCTGAATGCAAAGACCCATGTGGTAATTATTTGTATCAAAGATTCCACTAATGATAAGTTACTCCTCCAGTGCGCAGGGAATTCATTTTGCTAAATTATTCAAGAGTTTGAAAAATATGCAGCTTAATTCTTTTGCTTTAAAATGGTGTTACTTAAGGTAGTGTCAATATTTAACCTAAGCAAAGACACTTTAAAGCTCCAGTAAATTATTACATGTAGTCCGTTCAAGAATAAAGCTATCTACAAATATGGTTCATAGAAAAAAAGTAGTTTGGTACATGTGGCAGGTGCATACAGCACATTTTTCCTCCAGAATATTGGCTTACAAGTAAGTCAAAGCATAGAGAATATAAAAAAATCACTCTAGTTTCCACACGTTAACAATACTGAAATTAAACCACATTTGCAAGACAATCAACAATGTGAAAAATCAATTTACCACGTGATGCACACCAGTTTTCCTTATGAGCACCCCAAAGGAATCGTTCTTTTGCATTATGTTATACACATCAGAAAATACAATCCATTGTTACATTAGAAGTAAAATACTCTAACATCCATCATTTTATTTCAATCTTCACATGACTTGTATTTTAGAGAGCAGAACTAGAGACCTTCTGCTTAACAGTCAAACATGTTCTGGGCTGTTTCTTGTGTTTTGTGCATTTATTATTTTTCTGGTTATATTGTATTGTGTTTTTTTTCTTTTACAGTATTGTCTCCTTTGGCACTTGCTTTACATTATCAACTGATGCTACTTTCTCTGTGGGCTCTATGCTGTCTTTTTTGACTTTGCAATGGCAGTATGTTTGGAGTGTTTGTGTCCAGAACTGTGGCTTGTAGGGATGGGCGCCTTGTGCAGTTCCCCCTTCACTGAAAAGGAAGCCAGCCTTACTGCAGGTCCAAGGCTATGAGGACTGGACTCCCATTTGTCCTGCTGTGTTGTCCGCTTTGTATTTGCCAAGTTGGAAACTTTTCCACCTGTGGAGGGCTAGAAAAGGGAAATGAATAAATTCCACCAGTACTTACCTCATAAAAACTGAATTTACACTGTACTCTTTTTAACCATTTATGCCCTGTCAGGACCTGAAATTCCTCCTAGTAGAAAAAGTCTGAATCTGGGATTTTAAGAGGAGCTGGATTACTATTACTAGAAAACTAAGATTTTCAGTGAGAAATTACATTAGGCTGCATATTCAAAGAGCATACTGGTCCGAGGTCACCTCTCAGATGTGAATACATGATCCTATAGAATATGAGCACTTTTTACTATTCTTCTGCACAAAAATAAAAACTCAGGTCTTGAAGGGTTAAAGGAATCTAAACAAACAGTTCTACCATCTCTGTGCAGGTATTTGAAGATTTAGTTCTTCATTGGTAATACTGGTTCCATCTAGTGGTGAAACAAAGGAAACTGCTTCACGTTAAAAAAATATGAACAAAGATAGATAACAAAGGAATCTTTTTTTCTTTGTGCTTTTTTGCTTCATATTTTAGGATGAAAAGCCATTCTGTTCGGAAACACATTATACAGAAATTAAAAGTCTACCTATGTGTTATTCTGTAAAACCAAATAGTTTCACTTTTTACATCGGATAACTTTATTGTAAAGGAACAAGTAAAGCTTTATTCCATGCTGAAAAGATCAAGAAAACACAACGTTTCAGCAGTGGAGCTTTCTTCGGGTGTCATTATTATAACATTATTGTATGTAAATCTTAGAAAAGCCACAATTTGTATGTTAATTAATTGTTCGAAGATAGAAATATTTTCCAACTCCTTAGCTGTGTTTATATAATTCTTTCTGTGAAAACTCTGAACAATAAGAGTTCAAAGGGGTGTGGGCTCTTAAGTGCCAGGAAAGTAAGACAAACAGCTCCATAGTTTCACACACAATATTTACCTGTTATAACACACACAGGTTGATATACTGTATGGTTTGTAGCAAACAAAGAGGCAAATACGGTATAATCAAATGGGGGAAAGCAGCATGGAAAAAAAAAGAATTTGAGGCCTGATTTGTTTAGAAGTTCAAAGATGAAGACAAAAAAAAGTGTCTCTGCTTCAGATTCTAAGATAAAGTTTTAATAAGTTTTAATAATATAAATATGTTGATGGACAGAAACCTTATTTATTAACATTCCATTTCATAATCTTTATAGTATGTCAATATACCGTGTTTTGAAAGCTGTTTTCAAAGAAGGAAAAAAGGTACTCACAGTGCTACAAGTTTTTAGAGTTGATCCATTCTTTTTCACAATGCCATTGGGTAATGAACTTGTAAGAGTCTTCTTTTTCTGTATCTGTTCAGGGTGAACAAAGAAAATTGTTTATATAATAATCAGTAAAAGAGCAGTAAAATGTACATTCAGGTTTATTATTTTGTAAGAGATTTTGCATTCTTGACTGTTTAAGGAACACTAAAATAAACAAACTAAACATCACCTACTACATACCTACTTTGGTGATGCATGACAGCTACTCTGCACCAGAAGATCAGACAGAGAAGCAACTAATTGGTGAGATCATGCAACAATGTGGTAATGCACTTTACTGTAGTATGAAAAGTGCACAGTAGAGCAATATGATTTATTGTAAATACAAATTCAGACATTAGGCACTGTTGTTTGTCCATTGAAATGTGTTCACCATGTAGCCATTGGTGCAGTTTACCATAAAGTTGTTTCAGTAAGCTAAGAAGTGTTACTCCCTTCTACCCTCTCATTAAATCTCAGAAGCCACACAAGGCTTGACCTGGTCAGTACAGAAACTGGAGACCTCTAAAGAAAACGAGGTTGCAACTACTGTATAATACTGTAGGTGTTGTTATGTGGGTACAGGTGACACTCTTCCCTAAATACAAAAGTTGTGAGTGGGAGCTTTGTGCTAATGGAAGAACATGCATCTGATTAAACACTAAAGAAATGCCTTGACACCTTGGTTATTAAAGATTCCATGGCATTATTTGTAAGAATAGGGTCTAAGCTAAATTCTAATCTGGATTTACACAACCCCTAAAGATAATACTTAATTCAGATGGTAAAACATTTTTCTCACTTCCCTATTTGATCTACTGTGTAGTGTGGCTTTTTCATAAGCACCCTAAAAGCTTAATTTTAAGCATTCTCGTAAAAGAGCAAGGGGTCTGTATGTCTGACATGCACTGTTATTACAGAACTGTGATCCAGGCTCTGTTCTCAAATATGCCTATGTGAAATGTTTTTAAGGCTTTTATTTTACCTGTTTAGTGGGAGTAGATGGTTTGCTACTTCCACTGTCAGTATCCATCTCTACGTTGAGATCTGAAGCACCATTACTGCCAGCTGAACTACACCTCTGATCTATCACATCCCTGGGCTGAAAGGCATCTTCCTGGGACGACTTCAGTGATAATCCATTGAGGTCATCTTCAAGACTGCCATTGTCTATGTCATCAGGGTCATCTCTGAACTGTTTCATCATCTCCAGTACATTAGAAGGCCTAGCTGGGGTGGATGTGTCACCCTATTATAATAATCCATCCAAATCATTAGATTACATTACGATTCACACACATTGGGATTTCAGTCACTTACAACTGTACAAATTAAAGTAGCTAGCCATCTTTGAATATACTGTATAATAAAAGGCTACATTTACCTGGATTTAAACTACAGTTCTTATTATTAACTACTTTAATTCAAAAATTAATTTGCGGTAAAAAATACGTTTTTTGGCTTAAGGAAAAAAAAAGTAACTTCGCTACAATATGTAATAATAACATTAATTCAGTTCTGTGTTATTTTTTATTTATGTGTACAGTATTGAAAATCAGATGAGCAAATGCACTTACCGTGATCCAAGGGTTATCCAAAAGTTCATTGGCTGTGAGGCGGTGAGCAGGATCGACTTTCATTAGACACTGCAACACATTTTTGGCTAAAGGAGGATGGAGAAACAATATTCATAAACAAAATGTACCTTATTTAAAAAAATCAGAATCTGAGAAGAATGAATTGCCTTATGATCAAATGGACTCGGCTGACTTCACTTATTAGTTTGGAAATGCAACACATAGCTTAGCCTAATTATTAATAATAATTGAAAATTCTAAATGAATAAGCTAAACTCTCATGTTTTGTACAGGTATATGACACTTTTTCGAGAATGAAAGGACAATACATATTGGTAGAAAGTGTGTGCTTGCATAGTCAAAGATGTGAATGTATTTTAAAATGGAGAAACCACAAAACTTCTATGTTTACTTAGGTCAAAAGCACTGAGAACATAAGGTTACAAATGAGAGAAGGCCACAGTTTGGTGTTGGAAGTCCAGTTTTGTGAGCCGGCTTGTGGTTTAAGTTCCTTCCATTACCCCAAGGTGATGGCTGTCCCAGAAGTATATGGCACAATTTACAGTAGGACTCAACCATGTTGAATGTGATGGGACACCAGTCTATTACTGAGCCTCACAGAAAGGGCATAGAATAGCCAATCAAACCTATCCAGCATGCTTCTGTCAAAAACTCAAGCAAGGAGAGAGCATTCAGAATCTGTACACACAGCCTGAGGCTATAATTTAACCTAGTGTCCAGAGCTGCAATGTAGCAATGTTAATTGCCATGCCAATATAAGGTTCTGGTTTCTTGTTGTGAAAAATAATGTTATGTTGACCATGTTGTTACAGCAACAACAGCAACATTATTCCTTTATCTTTTAAGAAGATAATGTGTGCCAATGATCACTCAAACTTGTATTAACATCCTGTTCCCTTTATCACATTCTGCAGCTCAGTTTTTAATAACTAATGAATCTTATTACCAATGTCCAAAAAGTAGACTACAATAGACTGGTCAGTGTTAATATTTAAAGATGTATAATAATGAAATAGTGATACCTAGCTCTATAACCCAGCAGCACACCTACGGGACAATTAAGATAGATGTGTACATCAATATCAGTCACTTCCAGGTCTGACATTTTCTCAAAAAAATGAATGTGGGAACATCACTTTGTACAACTACTGTATATGTCACACTGTCGCTATGTTTGAGTTAATAATGCTAATAAACATATACTTATGTAAGGCAAAACTTCACAATTGAAAGTACTGTAATTGCATGATAGAAACATACAAATAAACCCAGTGTTACCTGATCAAATATTTTCATTGAATCTGGGGTTGTGTTTCTTGTGATGTTGTGTATGCATAAACATGTTCAGTCACAACGACGTACTGTATAACATACAATATGGGATTTTTAAAATAAGTTTCTAAGTTTCTAATAAGGATCCATGTGCTGGAGAACAGCATGATATGTACTTTCAAACAATATATTTAGCAATATCCAACTACAACAAAGGAAACAAAAGAAAACTGTTTTCTCTTATGGTTAAGCACACCTCCATCACTTATTGTCTTCCAAACTGGATCAGTGAAGTGTAAGCCTCCCTTTTTGATGAGTTCAAAAAGCCTCTCTTCGGAAGTCGCCATGAAAGGTGGATCACCACAGAGTCTGAGGGCGAGGTTTTTGGCATATGGTAAACCATAACAATAATAGATCCAATCATGTTATTTACAGTACAGACATAAAATATTATTATAAAGAATATTAGATAAAGCTCTGCTTGTTTTTTATTTTTACTTGTATTGAATTTTACTACATCAAAGCAATTGAATAGAGATCCACATATCACGTATTGGAAGTTTTTTTCATTTTTTCAGATGTGTATAAGTCACAACCCCATATCACAAACCAAACGTATGCACCAAGCACTTATGCTCTGTGATGAGGAACAAGTGCGTACAGCATGTACATGATGACACCTATACTCCACACATCACACTGCTGACTGTAGTCATGAGCATTGATAACTTCTGGAGCTGTTGGCAGAAAAAGAAGAGACAACAATTAATCAAAGATTAATTAATTATAAGCTTTTAAAGAATGTTAAATGATTCCAATCCATTCTATCCCAAACTTGACTAATACTCTAAGAATTTCCCTGTTGGAAATTATATTCCAAGAGGGTGAATGAAGAGAGAGGCAATTTAGATTAATTGGATCAATTACAAGTTAACAGCATTTTCCTTGCTTGAGTTTTTGCATACACTTGATTAGGCTGCAGGGTTGTTGTTGTTTTTTCTCATTTCTTCAACTCACATGTGATTTTTTTCTCCATTAAAGAAAATAACTTATATGAAATCACACTTACTCAAGGATCTGTTTCCATAGCACAACATTAGTTTATAATCATCAAGGCAAGAAAATTATTGATGGAGAAAATCAAGAGTCTGAAACTTTCACTTAGGCAAGGCATTGCCTAACTGCAATGAAATTCCAAGTCAAAGCTATAACTTATAATAAATAATAAAACTGAATAGACTCCTTATTTTCTAGGCAGGAATCTTGAAATCACACTAACGAGAATTTTCCTCTGCAGCATCATTATACCATCTGTTGTTTCAACTCCAACACACTGAATACAAACTCAAAAGTATTTTTAAACAATTTGCATGTACTTACACCCTAGCATCTAAATAAAAAAAACATTTGCTACGCTGATGCTAGGCTGTTAAACTAGTCCACATGAAACTACTGTAATGCAGTGAATGAACTACGTGTCTTACCCATATAAACAGGCGTACCGCATGTTGCCTGCAACATGTTTTCACTGCCAACCCCACCTTTCTGCACCGCTAAACCAAAATCTGTCACCTGAAAACACAAAAGGCCAATCAGGAAAATGTAGCAGAAAACTAAAGTACTAAAATAATCTGACTTTTTTTTTTATAAAACATGAATCAAACTCCATATTTGGGCCCTACAGTTCTGACTTCTGGCCTGTAGATATTTTAGTTTTTATTTTGGCTGCCCTGTTATATATTATTTGCTAATTAACTGTTCATGAAAGCTCGCTTCAGATAATGGTACTGCTCTTTTTGTTGTACTTTTTCAAAATTTCACTGTTACTTTTCATGGATGGTTTCTATTCAGTGTTGTTTGACTATCAGATAAGATAAAAGCAAACGCTTTGAAAGCATAATATTGGTTGGGTGACAAACCCTTTTGTTCACTCCATAATTTATGCTATAGGTACAACATACAGTGATTTGTGGCAGGTATTATAAATAAAAGTATAGCAAATATGTTCTAGAAATGACCAATCTCTTGCAGATAAGAAGTTTTTTATTGCAGGTCACAAAGCTGGTGTCTTAAAGCACTGCAGTTGCATTTGATTTATATGTTACCCCGCTTTGATTTAATCCTGTGCTCCAGATATACTGTAGAGCAGTACCTAAGACAGAAGGTACTACATATATATTTTATCCTTAAAGGTGATCTAGATAAATTCTCATAAAGTACTGTATGAAGAAGATGTTAATAACAACAGTTGCCCCATTGCTTTTATTCATTTCTCACCTTAATGTTAAGCATCATTTCATTCCCGTTATCATTATGATTACTTTTAACTAAAATGTTCTCCAGTTTTAGGTCCCGGTGTACAATATCTGAAAAAGAAGAACAGATTATTGGCTAAATACTGTTGCTCCAAGAATTCTTGTCATAGTCAACAAGTGACATAGCCCAGATTCAAACCGGCAATATCTGATCTATCAAGCTCAATGTGTTCTTTAAATAAGCATGCTTAATGGTTGAGATACTAAAGTTTCTCTACTACTAACATTTGCAGAATAGATGTATAATATGACTGCATATAAATATAAAATACAGTCTTCACTATGAGGCAACTGAAAGCTTGTCACATTAGTCTAAAGTAAACATTTAGCATATGAGAGTCGGAAGCTTAAGAATTTAAGCAACAATCTTTCTCCCACAAAACCATTAACATTAATGTGAGCAAATGGAACAGAAATTTTCTTCAGCAAAACAAATTTTTCCTTTCTTTTCACAAATGTATAATTCAGTATTGTAGAGAAGGCTTGAACTTGTTTATGTGTAGAACGCCGAAAAATATGTATTTTATGACATGAGCAGTGAATACAAACTGTAAGAGTTAAAATGCTACAATGGATGCTGGCACTGGAAAATAAGTATCGAAGTGTATGTAGTCCATGAAATGTGTGTCTGAATCTGTGATTTTAAGAATTACTAGGTAGTGAAGAGCATTTCAAGGCAAAGGCTGTCTGAAAGACATTATCTACCTAAATAGAAATGAAGATTAAAAAATGTTAAAAGACAAACAAATATTGAGACCTTGGTTTTCATCTGTGCTAGTGGAAAGCAAAATAAGATATTTCAGGTTTTTTACACTGATTGCTGCAAAATTCAGGATTACCCTAGATGCAGTTTAGATATTCCTCTTGAGATAATGAGATATGAGCAGAGCTAATAGGCCAGTTATTACCTGTAAAAAATGAGCATTTTATAACTTTGGAAAGATGGAACCTTAGTGGTAGATAGTCACGAGCTGCTTGTGTGTTATCAATATAAAAAATCCAAGTAAAAGTGCATGTGCTTTTACAAGGCCTTCTATTAACATCACAAAGCAATGGAAATTAACTGTATATTTGGACGAGACATAATTAATATGCCATTTCTTATTTAAATATTTTATTACTCAGGCATTAGCAAAGCAAACATTCATCCTAACAATGCTCAGCTGGTGGTTTCATTTACTGTTAATTTACAAATAAGGCCTACAACCTCATGGGGACTTTTAGTATGAAAATGCACCTATTAATCAGTATTCTTCCCCTTCCAGCAGTAAATGACTCATTAGCTGCATGTAATAGTATCTCATTTTCAAGCAGTGTCCTAAATTACTTCTAAAGTGTATGCTAACAGTTTTGCTGAACTGGAGTTTTAAAAATGAAAAAGAAAAAAAGGCATATCATCTTTAAATAAACTCATCACACTCAATTAAAATTGACTGCAACATTTTTCGTGGCAGGCTGTTGCTCATAATTAGCTCATTATTAAAACCAGTGAGGTACTGTAATAACTTTAAGTCATAATGTAGCATCAGCTTTCTTATTATGAGATGTCAATGAATACAAATCTCGAGGGCTCCGTACATAGTGTTACCTATTAGCATTACAGCACTACATTTTTACAGTTCCTTCTCAAATCTGTTTTAACACTACATAATAGATAAGAACATCTCGCTTTAGTTATTGATGTATAACTATACTGTCATTGTTAACATTTGTTCACTTTAATGAGAAAATATGAGCTGTATTAGTGATTCCATCCTGCACAATTAGAAAAAATGAAAAAGCAAAAAAAAATATTTCTGCATATTGCACTGCAGGAAGAAAGCTCCATACTATAGTTTCATGTTCTCAATAGATTTTGTTGTAAAGTGTGTTCAAGTTTTTTTACTACAGCAGACTGTGAAACATAAATCTATAATTGAAGAATTATTACCATGACCTAATGTAAGAGCTATTGTAGTGTGGTACTGTAGCTGTAGCAGCACTTAAAGTCTTATTTTAGTCTACCCTCGAGTACTGAAAATACAACCTGAAATTCCTATTTTTATAAAAAAATAATAAATTAGATTTTTTAAATTTCTGTTCATATACCTTGGTTTTCACTTCACAACAACATTATCTTCCTTGTTCTGTCTTTCAGACTTTTTTAAAAAATTGTATATTGTTACAACTACACTCTTACATCTTATTCTTTATGTACAGAATGTGTAACTTTTCAACAAATCAGTTTTACTGCCATTATAAAATACTTTATTAGATCCCCCCGCCCCCAGAAATAATTACCCTTTTTATGCAGATATGCTATAGCTCCTGCTAAACTGCAAATTATGTGTCTTGTCTCATTTTCAGTAAAGCGTTTATTTTTCTGCAGAATTTCTTTCAGTTCACCTCCCTCGCAGAGTTCTGTCACCAGGTACATCCTCTGTAATCAGAATAAAGAATCGGAAGGGAATTAGTAGCTATTGATGTTTTCAGACGTCTATTTTAAAACACCTATGTATTTACCTAAGACATTGTTTTATGGATTTGCAATATATTTTATTAAGATGTCATAATGTTTTTAAGTCTCTTTTAAAAGCATTCATTTTAAAATAAAAAAAAAACTGAATTGGAAATATTGAGTGTGGTTTGGTTATTCTGAGGTTAAAAGAATGTCACTTTCTCATTTTCTCTGGTGGGAAACTAGCAGGTGGGAAATATTTATGAGGGGGTAAGTGGGGATTTTGGGGGATGGGGGGGTAGGTTTGTTGTCTGGGTGCAAAGATTGCATTAATTCTTTTGTTATGTTGTATTTTTGCATTTGCCTTAAAATGAACTTTTTAGGGTTCTGTAAACACAGCTGTTTCCTGATACTTACCTTTGGTGTTTCAAACACTTCTTCTAGATGTATGATATGTTCATGGTTAACGCGCTTTAGTATGGTAACTTCTCGCTCCAGCATTTTGACAGCAGAGCTCCCAGCCTGCGTTAGAGAACACACTTCACTGTGCTTCTGTGTCTCGTTTTAAAGTGTCTGAATTGAAGAATATCTGAGTGTACTTTCAGTTTTTAACACAACTGAATGCAGAACACGGTATGTCAAGTGATTCATTACTCATAACTAATCTCTGCAACAACATTACAGCTTTTTTAAAACAAAAGCTGCACAGTGCATAACTGATTTGAGTAGCAGAATGTAATACTACTATAGTGAAAACATATTATGATTATGTCAGGTTGTGACATGCGGGCACTTACCTTTTCTCTGTTCACCTTCTTGATTGCCCATTTCCTCTGTGTTTCAATGTGACTGGCTTCATGGACTACTCCAAAGCTACCCTGACCTAATTTCCTCCCAAATGTGTATATTTGCTAAAGAAGTAAAACAGAAACAATAAAGGTACTTCACAGCAAATAAATTAACTTTGAAACAGAGATACAATATACATTATCTGTATAAGCACCTTCAGTCAGTAAAGGTAGCACTGGATTTCAAAGTTCACACTTGCCATTTTAAAAACAGTTTCTGTTCTCTAGAAGTGCAAGATTATTTGCACTTAAATGCATTCAGTCTAAGTGTCTGGCTAAATGAGCTCCCTTAGGTATATGGTGCCCATGATAATTACTGTAAATGTCATTGTACTGTACCTGGATAGCAGCTTCATCCTCCATTCGAGTGTGTGGCACCTTGTTCTCTGCACTGTTAGAACGTGTCCACTGGGAGGCCATTTTCTAAGCTTTAGAAACATGTATATTCTGCATCTAAGGATGAAACACAACACAACACTGGTAAGTAAAACACACATACAAAACATAATCAACAAAAAGAATCGCCGCACACTTTCCTTAAACACACTAACGGAAACCTCCAAATAAGGTTATCTTTTAAAACAAAATTTGTTTCATTGTTCAATGTAATTGATTTAAAGCTTTTTTCACTGCACTTTAATCTTGTAAGTACTAATAAGGGACTTTCACAAAATGAAGCACTCACACAATAGTACACCCACAACCCACATGACGCATTTGCAGACCCAGAGGCAAAAGCAAATATTCATGCAAATGATGAGGCCTGTAATGTCAGACCAGACTAGCAGTAAAAACCACCATGGATGCAGCAATTCTAAAACCATGAATGGGCTGATATATGTGAAGACAGCAAGAGCCTTGGATAACAAATCAGAAAATCAGCCAGCAGTGAATTATAAGAGGTGAACTCAACCAATAATTACTTTAAAAAAGCATCAAAATGAACTGCATCACAAGGGAGTAAAACTTGCATGCGAATCAAAGTTTAGTTTAGAAAGTTTATTAGATATAATAATCCAGAACTGCACAGTTCTGTACATTAAACAGTATAATTTATTAATATTATTGACCTACATGAAGTAAGACGTATGATATAATGACAAATTATGAATATTAATTTTAATTAAAGGATTATGATATAAAAGACAACTGTGCACAGAGTTGTTGTGCACAGCACAGAAATTTAATTCTTATAACATTTTAATTTTTAATATTACAAGTAAGTGATAATCATGACTAAGACATTATTCAAAATGCTTAGTACACTTAGTACAAGTATTTAAATATTAAATTAACTAACTTTATCCATCAAAAACATACATCATTTTAGAAATGTGATTTGTGTTCAAGCTCAAAATGTAAAAAAAAAAACATTTCACAGGATTTCTTTTACAGTAATTTAACTTAAATGACCTTGCTTGAAAATCAATAACAACCACTTCTACAGTATAAGCCATTGTGACACTATTACACTGCATGTCGAGTAATTTGGATCTCTTGACTCAAGGCAAATTCTCAGAGACAATACAGCTTTCAATAATTGTGTGCACAGGACAAAAACTGTGATGATTTTAAAATATAAACATATAAACAGCTGTGCCATAAAAAATAAAATAGAACATTTATTGTAGTCATATCAAGGTAATGTATCTATGTGCATGTACAATAATATAACTTCGATAAAAGAAATCCACCAAATACATACATGAACAAAAAGTCCCAGGTTATCTTAGTTTCAGATAATTATTTAACTCTCAATATATAATTTTGAATATGGGGGTTAAGTTTTATATACACTACAGAATTTGTCTTCAGACTTTGATTTTTGTTAATAATGCCCAAATGAATGCAAATAAAACAATAGTTAATTGTCTCATTACAATATCTGATTAACAGGAATGGGTTTGAAAGTGAAGACTGACAGAACTCTACAGTACTATCAGGTATAAAAGATTAAGTTTAAAAAGGAATTTGATCCAAAGTAAAGAATTCTAAGGTAACATGAATTAAGCAACTTTCCATGATGGTGTTCAATACCCTTTTTTACAAGATGTGCTGTTAAAATTTCCATCCTCTCTTTTTTCCTGTTTCAATAGATTTGCTTTATTCAAAGAGTCCACAAGTTGTGTGTGTTAGGTCTAGAGTCTAAATGGCACATATTATTTTAAGTACAATTTACTTAACGCTGGAAAAAGCACAAAAGTCAAATTCATTGTATAGAAATTAACAAGTGATGAGTGAAAGCACCAGAGTGGATCTACCACATATAAAGCAATTATCAGCAATTCAACGGTGTCTTTAACCTCTTTTTTCTCGCATGTTATCTTATCACTGACAAGACATTAATACCAAGCCTGTCTTTTAAATTATGGCACATCTGTTCGCAAATCAAAATTATTGTGACGGTCTCTGAAAATCAAAATACCCTCAATCAAAGTTAATTTGTGCCAGACAGCTTGCATCCCGATACTTTGCTCTGCTGTAGTCTTCAGACGGAAGGCTCGCATTGGATAGGCTGTTTCACAGGGAGAGCGAACAGACAGATGAGCCAGGGAAGTGAGGAGAGAGAAGGTCTAGCCTTAGAAGAGGCAGGAGACCATTTATTGTTGGGTTTAAAGTTTACCAACAATGATGTCCATGAAGCTGAATTTAGTTTTACTGTAACCTGAAAGCAACGTCTGTTTCCTGCCCTTTCAAAATGTCATTTCACTGTAGGGGTTCCACTCTGTTATCTCAGACCCTTTTATGTCTGTTTGGAATGAAGAAAATGTACTGTATATTATCATTATACTGTGCAGCATGCTTACTAGTACACTGCTGTGCAGTTGTATCAACTGTGTTGCTTGTGCGGTTCATGTTAATGTACCTTACAGAATTAGTTTACCTGCATTTCCTATTATGTATATTCTGGTTCCCTGTTGTGTCTTCCATTTAGCCATGCTAACTAAGGGAGGAGGCAAAGCAAAAAACAGCCTCATAAAAGGCAAGTCAAAACTGAAAGAGGAAATGCCACAGGATTCACAGGTGTTTCACACACAAGAGTGGGCTCTATTATACTGTATAATGCTTCATCAACTGGCTTAATTGACACTTATTTATTTCCCATGCACAGTATATGTCCTTTAGTCCTTTTATTACTTTTCTAACCTGTTTTCCAAAGCACAGCTATCATTGATATAGTAAAAGAACTATTTAAAATGTGAATATAAGAAAAAATGACAGCAATGAATCACACAGATCGCACAGGTAAAAGATTGCAAAAGTCTACAAAGCATTAGGAAACTACAGGTTATGAAATCCGAATTTAAATGTATTCTGGAGATGTCCCAAAGTGAACAGTAATGTAATCTGCTGTCCATCTATACACTGGACCTTGCGGGAGTGTTTCATCCTGCTCCTCTCAGGATAAAACATCGTGGAAGTGATAAGTCAAGACACAACAGTGCAGGATGGAAACACAGACTTACCAAGGTGTGCAACAAATGGAGGATTCCATGCCAATCACTGCCTTTAAAACCTGTAAGACAGAAAAAAGAATCATTTCATCATTGGTTCATATCAATGAATAATTAAACATATCTTTACTTTTTATTATATTTTGCTGATGTACTCAATATTGGTGACTGAATGTTTTAAGATGCATTTTATGTCACGAAAGGTAAAAGAAAAAGTACAATGAAGACAAACAGCAGTTGCTGAACAGCACTCTTTTATCATACCAAAGCCGAGCATTTCTTTTTTAGTTAGTGTTTTACTTTTATATTTCCTGCTTTAATAATTCAAATGTACAGTAGTGTGTGTTGTCAGTTTAAATAGAAGCATTCTTCAAAGTGCTTTAAATGCATTCCATTATACTTCTACTGACAGTTAAAAGAAACCCTTAATTACATTTGCCGATGACAATGTATCACATTATTGAAAACTAAAAACACGGACTGTTAAATTAAATGCCTTCAGAGACTTGTACTGTAACACTCAGAATTAGTCAAATTTATGTTAGCAATGATTTGGTATAGTATATATCTTTAAATACTCTAATTCTACAGCAATATTAGGTTTTCTGATACTAAATGTCTGCTACATTTCTATGATCCAGTTTTCATGAAGTGTTACAACTTGAATCAGTTGTTTGCATTATATTAGTATTTTCTGATATTGATATCAAATAAAATGTAAGAGTTTAAAAAATGTTTACTATGCCCATATTCCACATTTTACTGTGTGGAATATCATACAGTAAGACATGTTACTGTGTGTCCTTATAAATTAATAATGGAAAAATGGAGCAAAACTAAGATAGAATCCATTGTTCTTCCTCAGCCTTTACAGATCTCAGAGCAGCCAGCAGCAAGTAATTATAGCAGATTGTATGTCAGTAATCGATCCCCAGTATTTCTCGTTTCACTAACAAAACTGTCAAAAGCCCATTAGTGTTTATTTACTGATTGTTTGCAAAGGGAAACACACATTGTTTCCCTTGACTGCAAAAGAGATGCCGTGTTTTAGTTGAAACACAAATCAAATGTGGCACTGGAGTGATGCCTGGACACACAGAGATAATTCTAGCTGTGGGTAGTTCCCTTTTCTTCTCCTGTGCACGCGCCTCTGACATTGGCTGTCTGTCTTTGTAGCAACAGTGAAGTGTAAACAACGTTTCCTGCCATATGGTACATTAACTTTATTACTTCCATTATTATCCTGCCCATAATGAAACAGTAAGAGCCTTATCGTTTTCAATCTAGCAGAACAGTGTGTGCTTATAGATTTACATTTTTAAGTGCTAATTAAAATGAAGGACCAGAGCAATGTAGGCAGAACCACACAGTAATTCTTTTGCCTGGAGGTATGCAATAAAACAACTAGAGGGGTGGCAACGTTTGGTCCACTGAAAAAAAGGCTGGCTGCAGTGGTAGGACTGCAGTCATCTGAAATTTACAGACAGAGAGATAAAACATTAATCTTTGCTGGATGTCAATTTACATAGTAGGAGGGACTGGCAATCATCCTTCCATTAAACTATCTTTCTTCTCTGTTGAGCAAATGTACTTTCAGCTGCTGCCTTTTTCTGTGCTTTACTTGACAGCATTTGTTAGAGTTTAACTTGTCTGTTTCTTTTTCAGACATACAGTACTGGAAGGCACAGGTTTTCTAACATGTACATTTTTTAATAAAGCCTCACATTTCATTTAAATTCTTCCTTAGATACAATTTTCATAACACCGCCACCAGGGGGCGATTTCACTAACTAGAACAGCTAGGGCAAAGCTGACCCAAATCACTTTACAATGGAAATAATTTAAAGCCTCTTTATAACTTCCTGATACCTATACAGTTAAAGTGTCTACAGGTTTCCTTCCATCAACCAGACTGTTTCATCCACTTGATCTGCAGCTTAATTATTCATTGACATCAGGCTGTGATGACAAATTATAAACTGTAGAGCATTAATGAAGCGTGCAATTACATTACCAAAGAAATGAGGAATGCTAAGACTAAAAATCAGAAGCACTGCAAAGGAACATGGTTAATTATTTCTGGTTAAAATATTACATTTTTTTATCCTTATCATCGCATTTACTAATTGCTGTTTTATACTAGACAGAGCAGTCAAAATATCCAGTGTTGCTTCTGTCTGGTTTGTTTTCCATGAAGAGTAAGCTAACTTTACACCTAGACATTATTAATTTCTTTCATGTGTTGCTTGCATATGATTTCATGCACACACAAATCAGAAAATAAATCTGGAAACTACAGCCATATTAAATATTTATAAACAGATTTTTTTAACAGATTTTTTTTTGTTCAAAAGGAGGAATTGTTCTGCAAAACACTGAATTCAAAAAGGCGGCCTTTAAAAAAGAGCTAAGTATACAACACCGTGTTGTTCCTTTTACAAAAGGGAGTTGCTGCACTTACTAAATCATCAAGTTTCTATAAATGGAAGTACTCCTATGTTTGTCTACAGGAAAACACAGGTGTGAACAGAACTAACATGAACGTTTTGGAAAGCATTTATTACAGCATTTCTGTCCATTCCACTTTGACTAATGAGTTTCTACAGGTTTGAGAAACACTTTTTCTGAGAAACTGAATGTCAAGTACTTGCTTAGTATAGACCTCAACATGTTGCTAGGAGATAAGACTCAACAAATTAGAAAGTATGTTTATATTGAATTAATCAAGTTCCTGGCTAAATCCTGTAGAATGTCCTTTTTAAAGCTTTAGCAATTGCAAAAATGCATTGTTTACAATTTGTTTCAATTTTAAAAGCCACATTTGTAATACACTTTAAAAAAGTATTTTAATGTAATGTCTGATAAAAATCATACAGAATACCTTATCTTTCTAAGATTTGTAAATCTTACAAATACAAAACAATAACATACAGTGTATATAAATACACTTAATATGAGTAAAGGAAAGTCATAAGTCAAGGAAATTGATACTACAAAGATGTCAGTTAGGGCTCTATCTCTATACAATGTTAACAAATAATTCTATACTGCTGCTTTACAGTAAGCTATTTTTTTCAGAATGAAGAAGTATCTGCTTACTAGGATTATATTGATCTTACAAATACCTGTCTGGTATCATTTCATTAAAGGTATTTTATTACATGAGGGACAGAAATGATTCAATGTCTCAGTTTCTCCTGATATTTTATGTTTATATTCACAGTACAAAACTCAGCTCAGAACACAGAACAGTGTGCACTCACCCCAGCTTCTAATAGAAACATGATTCCCATCAGAGAGTTCAACTCAGATTGTTGAACAAAACAACACCGTGATGTGAGATTACACGTTACAGGTTTTTTACTGGTTGCATATCAAGTCCGGTATAGAAACATGTTAGTAATTCAACTATTCAGCTAAAGAAAAACAGATCCTTTAGACCACCTTCATGTGTGCATTTTGAAAACATTTTTAAACATTCAAAATAGAATAATATGTACAGTATAAGTATGTAAAAGATCAACAATTTTGAATTTTATAAATGCAAAACAAATATCAATTCATGGTGAATAATTTCTTAGTATGTGGCATTATACTTAATATTTCTATCAACTGCTACTGTATATTTATAAAAGGACAGGAGTGTATACAGTAGGTCACTGGGGGAAAATAGCAAAGACAAAATGAAACTAGCAGTGTTTTGCAGCCACAAAGACTAACTTTGAAATTCCAAAAGCCAAAGAAATTATTTCTTTTGTCTGAAATACACAGCTGCTTGAAACTCATATAATTATTTAAGCCTCATACAAGCAGCAATTAACTTCCAGCGACCTGTTCCAGCTAAATATAATTATCTGGCATGAAACCTGCATAATAATAGGTGTTTTAATGCTCACTGATGTTTAAAAAATTGAATACGCTCTCAGAATTGAAGTATGTCAATGGAATGTATTTTAGAGGGTTTAACAAATAAGTTTTTCTTCAGAGGCTCAACTCTTATCCAAAATGAACATTTATGCTTATAGACAACTCAAGCATGAAGAAAAAAACTATATTATTTTATAAACATCTCAATCAGAGCATGGGCAAGTTTCCATTTGCATATTTTTGTGTTTAATACTCTACTTTCTTTAATTCAGTTTATCTACTCCTTAAATTGTATGCTGAAATTATTTTAATGTGTTTATTTTCAATGCACATAAAGAGATATCATTAGATCTACTTTAAGGTTCACCTTCACATCTGGATGAGTTAAAAAAAGTAAAATGTTCAATACAGGAATAATATAAAAACAAAATTTGCTGGAATACCAAATTATATTTCATCGTTATCATCTTGTAGTCTTTCACCCTGCCTTGGACTACACAGATCCACCACTAAATTGTGATATTGTGATATGTTACATGTTACAGCCCCCACACTCAAACTGATTAGGTTCAGCAGAACATATTCTGTTATTCAGGGTAATGTATATGACATTACTTTCACTACACTGTTCCTTCATTTTACCAATAGTACTGTGCCAATGGCAAACTCACCTGATGCCAATCAATAATAAACACACACGATAATGAAATTTTACAACAAGGCTGCACAGAACATCAAAACAAAAGCCTGAGGCTTATCACACTGAATGGGAATCAGGAGATCAAACGTGAGCACTGCTTAGGAAAACCAACATTGCTGGGGGCTCAATCAGTGTATTAACCATTTGCTTGTTCTATAATACATACTGTAGTTGTAATTTTAAAGTGTTGTTTTCAAGTAAGACATTTAGGCTCTGAATTAAGCCATTTAGAGAATTAAGGTCAAGTGCAATGACATAACAGTGACACTGGAGTTTGTGCCATAGTTTTGAGATATTCCTTCAGCATTACATTGCAAATACAATGGTGTTGGTATCCACTTTAAAACAATCAGTTGTTTTAAAGACGAGTAATCTGTAGGACCATGTTAGGGGAACATTTATTCTTTTAATTACTTCATTAATATACAAGCTAATATTACAACCTCCTTAGATTGATCATTCTAACAAACAAAATCATTACTTTGAAAAGTATGGTGTATATTATCTAAAACATATCAGTGTTAATCAAACATCCTCTGTACATTTGTTAAGAGATGCAGAAAGTATGAAAGTATTCAAGAAGAGTCGTGTAGTTTTTAAAAGTATCAAGGTGCCAAGAGCAATTAATTTTATTTCACTATGAGCTATGAAGCTCATTTGTTTTAATGACTAATCTCACATTAATTGCTCAATCTGTTCATTTCTTTATAGAAGCTATCCAAACACAGCTTATAGTTTAGTCTAGCCAAAGCACCTTACATTTATATTTCTATCAAAGCTGATGATCAGATGACACAATTACAGTGAAACTAAACTTTAGTTAGTTTTAGAATTTTATACCAAAGAATCAAAAACATTCACAACATTTAATAAACTAGACATTATCTATATCGCAGTATAATTGTGCTTTTGATTGAATTGATAGGGAATTGAGTTCTGGAATTGATAAAGTACTCAGTAAAGCCCATAATATGATGAGTTTTAAAACAGCATGAAATGGAATAAAAGATTAATCACCTGAAGTCACACTTTTTTGCATTTCCAGTTTTTCATTTGAATGGTGCAGCACAGAGAAAACTGAAGTCATATGATTCTCTGATTTGTCTGCAATTTTGATCTAACATTCATAAACTACAGTATATCTAATCAAGGCATCTTCTAATTTGTAGGGAAAAGATAAACACTGGATACTATTTTAATGACATTTTTACTTTATGCAGAAATGCTTTGAGAGAAATACTGGTTGTTTTGGGAATTGGGCTTGAAAGCACAAAGTGTGATCATTTCATTAACTTTGACTAATGCGCCACTTTAGCTATGGATTAGCTTTTCAAATAATTTCATTAATTCTGTACAGATTGGTTTAAATAGCCACAATATGTCAACAAGAGGATTATTATTTTGACAATTTTAATACTTTCTCCTAAATTAGAAACTATAAACTGTAACTACAACCTCTTTTAGAGATGTGTTAGAGGCTAGACTTTAGAAAGTGATGACTTCATTAAAACATCATTCTTTAAAAAAACAACATGGCAATGAAAAATCTTCCAGTCAAAATGTGTAAAACATAAGGTTTTGTAGTAGAATTCAAAGCTTTAATTTCATGCATAAATATTTAGTCTCATAATTGGCAGTTGTGATAGAAACACTAACTCATCATGTAAAAAAGCTCAACAATACAGAAAGGCAGTTTACAATTTATGCACAACTGATGTTTGATGTTTGGGTTCAAAACCCCACTTGTGGACAAAACATGTTTCATCTCAGACATGAAGACTGAAATCAGGGTCATCCATTTGATATTTTGTGAGAGAAACTCACATTATAACAATCCAGCAATATAAGCCTCACAATAAAATCAGCACATAAACAACAGCCAGTGTCTATAAGTACACAAATAATTTCATTAACTATCACATTTTAATATAAATTATGTACATTAAATGGTATAATTGTCTAGATTGTTCGGAATACAGATTAGACTGAATGGACTTGAGCTAGCATCTCTGACCAAGCTCCTTGAGTGCCACAATCCAGCAGGGTTTGTAGTTAATCATTGTATTACAAATTTAGAAAGTCCTAAAACAATGTAATTGTGATCAAAAGGCAGTAAAATGTTAAAACAAGTCATTTCAAAATCATTAGGTATAGAAACTGACAGCTCTTGGGGAGAAGAGTTCCCTTAATTGAAATTATTACCTTGCTCAATTGATCAATAACTTTAAAGTTTTCCCAGTCTTCATAAACATGATGTAGCATGTACAGTAGCACTAAACTGGTGCTTTCTGACACCACATTTGTACAGTAGATGGGTAGACAAGAGGGCTAACTTTCCTGGTATTACAGTATATAAGTACATATATTATTTGGTTATAAAACCAGAAAGAACAAAATACACTGTCCACAGAAGACTATTCGAGAAATTAAATAGAAGAGGAGATTGATCATCAAGATGCGGAAAGTGTGCTGTATGATTCCACAAATGTAGTCTAACCACCTTCAACAGTAGCTGGTCATGAAGTGAATGAAAGAGGGTAGGAACAAAAAGCCATTATCAAATGAATAAGATATTAACATGTTCAAAAATAAACAGTCTTTTAAACCAAACGGTTCAGTTGTGCTCCATATTAACTTTCTCCCCAAAATTAATTTTAGAACAGAACCGAGAGTATCTAAATAGGAAATGATATCCAACTATTGATAGAACTTTCCTCTTGAAAGTTGACAAAAGCAAAAAGTGACAAAGATTTGTCAGTCAGCCATAACACCGCCAAAACGTCTGGGGATCGTTGTCCTTTATAAACAATCTAAAATTAAAAATCTATTGAATCCTTAAAAATTTGTAATAACTTTAATAACTTACTACTTTTAATCGAAATACAGCATACTGTGCATCTTTTGCTACTTGTAGCCGTCACTGTTGTTGTTTTTAAATCACTCTAAGCAACAAACAAACACAGTGCACTGTCCCCAGAGGAGCTACACTGCAGAATTCCCAATCCTGGTGAAGTAAACAACACTGCCAACACTGACTGATCCCTCTTAACAAGATTAAAACCACCTTTGTGACATTAAAACACGTTTTTTAGCGTTTAAAACCCTGTGACGATCTGTTTTCCTTCCCGGTGTTGCATTACCATTTAACTGACTGAAAAACGACTGTAGCAGTAAGCTCTTCTCTTCAACGAAAATCTTGGCTATATGCTTTCAGTGCACAGAGGAAAAGTATAGTTGCAAGACCCATTACTGTCATTTCTGAGTGCTCTCTCGGATGTTATTTTTAGGAAAGAAAAAAATAAAAGTAAAATATTCCTTGCAAATGGAAATTTGGTCACAACTGACTTACCCGGTAAAACGAAGGGATAAAAATAACACTGTATAATTTACCACTTGCATAGCAAGAAGTGTCTAACTTTATAGTCAGCTTAACATCGGAATCATAAAAAACACTATCTAACTTATCTAACTTCTGTTATCTAACTTGTATTTTTTGCGCTAATAAAAACAAAAAATAAAACACGAACTGTTCAGCTGGTTGTATTCTAATGGAAACTGTAATACGCCTATAGCGTTTGTTGCTATGGTAACAGTGAAGTTTTCACTAGAATAACTATTTCTATGTACAATAAACGTGTTTGTTCTTTCAAATATATATATATACACGTACCTTAATTGTAAAATATACCAGAATTTCAAAATTCGGGTCCTTGTGCTATATCCTTTGATATCTGTTGTCCGTTCAGACTGGTCTTCCAAACCAGACACTTTCAGAAAGTATTAACTTGCGAAAAGAGTAGATGAATGAACTACGGTAGCCGCAAAGTGACAAGACACCTTTACAATTAAGTGAAAGCGAAGGTCTATGCCTTTACAGTAACATTAAAGACATTTTGAAGCCATCTGTAGCAAGAATATAAATACATATGGATACAAAAATATTTATCTTGGAGTATTTTGAAATGCCTTTATACGTCTGCTATGTACATTTGATTAAATATACTTTGTATAAAGAAAATGTTTTAATTACAATAGGTATTTAACCTTTTTGGTACCAGCTTTTATGTATAACCCCTTCAATTATTCAATTCAACTTTATTGTCATTAAACTTACACAGGTGCATAGTATAATGAAAAGTGTTTCTCATTAGTCACTCAGGTGCAGTATATAAATAGGACAGAAGCTAAGACGATAGTACCAGACTTTTTGGACCGGTAACAAACAGTAATTACGCCAGTCATCAAAACGTTTGTCTTGAAAAAATGTTTTCATTTTGAACAGCAGTGTTTTTCGCCCACTGATGTAGACACTTTTCTCGTGCTAAGACTTATATTTCTATTGTCAGTCCCAGGTATTAACTGTGGCATATTTTATTCTGAGAAGCATTTTTATTCCTGTTATTTTGCAGTCTACTGATATGGGGGGGGAACAAATATAAATAACAATTGTTCTGTTATCTGGAAGAGTAGTTTTCTCGCAAGCAAATTGAATTTTATCTACGAAATTGCAAATTGTTAGGTTGACATTTTCACAAATTTATTTATTTTGAAAACGGGATTAAAAACTATTGTTTGAGGTTGTGAAAAATATAATTTCAGACAAAATAATCACCACTTGAAAACATTGAATTTCAAGGTTTTCTTTTTCTATTTTAATTTCTAAAAATAAAAGTTATCACACTATTCTTATACGGTTATCAAAGAAAGCATTTTAGAAAAACATTGCGTTTCTCAAGATATTTTGTGATGCAGACGTCTCCAAAGAATAAACTGCTTCGTTTCCTTTATATTGCCTTTGCACAGGATTAGGAGCACAATATTGTCTGGGTGGCTAGATGCGTGTTGTCTTTTTCCTAATAAAACTTTTAAAAATATTATGCTGTTATTTCTATGCACTTCAGTGAGGTATCAGTAGAACACCCCTCCAAGGTTGGAAACAGCCAGTTACAGTACTTGCCTCCTGTAGTCTCTCTCAGCTTTGGCAGACAATTTCATTTGCATGAGGTACACAGTGACCTCTAGTGTCAGTCCTGAAAATCTGCTGCACTGGAAGCCAATTACAATTACCAAAGGAAAACAAAAGCATTTTTTATTCTCAGACCCAGAGGATGGAAGATGCAGTGTGTTAGTCACTTCTTCCCTTAGTAACTTTACCTGAGAGAATAACCTCTTATCCTGTCCTTGTACAACTACTACTACTAATAATAATAATAAAGCCTTGTATGTATGTACAGTAGCATAATTAAAAGTAGCTTCTTTGTGCTTTTACGATAAGAAAAAACAATCATAGAAGACAGTTGTGAGTGTGGTAGAAGAGTGAAGGGGCAGACAGACATCAATTAAGTAAAAGCTTTTCTGAACTAGAAGGTTTTTAATGTGGAGTTGAAAGCACTAGGAAGGTGACATTCTAATATCTGCTGATATACTGTTGCACTTCAAGTGTCCAGAAAAGTGCTACATAAGTGTAAGAAATGAAGACCTTGTCACCCTGTCACCTATGGAGACGAGCTTGGGGGATGAACAGGAGTCAGATGAACGATGATTGTGAGGCGGGGAGCAGTAATAGAGTATCCAGCTTTGGGGGATGTGTTCTTCACGTTCACAGTGTTTCTTCTGACTGACTACTTACTACGCTGTACTCGAAAATAATAAAAACTTAAATACTGCAATTCAGGTTATATTTCAAAGGATTAAAACAAACTCACATGGATTATCATGTTTTCAAAACTTGATAATACTTTTTTTAGCTAAGCCATATCATCAACTTGTTAAAGGTGTCTGCTGTTTTAGTATACCTTACATTTTACAGTGGTATGCAAAAGATAACAATAAAAATGGCAAAGAAATATAGATAAAGCCATATTTCAGAAAACCATGTAACATACAGTAGCAAATGCATTTGAGGTAGACAATTTATAAGATCATGTTTCTCTGGCATAAAACTGTTTTACTGTGGATTTAAAATATTCCCCTTTACAGCAGTATATTTGTAAAATGCCGTAATAGTAAACCTTTTATTAATATGGTCTGATAATTATTTTCAGTACTGTCACTTATTAAAAGGAGTCTCTTTTTTTAAATGTGGTGACTATTGTTCTAAGGAAAGAAAATGTAATTGCACCACAATTAGAAAGATTATTTTCAAAGATAGTGTGTTCTATCAACAGCTAATCAAAGCTTTTATTTTAAGCTTATTCTGATGTCAGAAATGCTTATTGTTTGACACTTCAAGATAAATAAAGGTATTCTTTCATGATCTTTCACACTGTGTATTGCACCTTTTGGCTTCACAGTTGGCAGCTGTTTGTGAAAGAATGTGAGATGTTCTGTATACTGCCAGAGTGTGCTGTATGTGCTGTTTTGTGTGTCAGTTCCAATTTCAGTGATGAGGATAGTGAAAAGGCTCAGAATATCCCATGCAATCTTGCTAGTTTCCAAAAGTGTTTATATTCACCACATAACTGTTGGAAGAATATTCACTGGACAGACGTCAAAAGTTGAACTTTGTGGATGCAGTGAGAAACATTTTGCAAGGCATAAGCCAAGGACTGCCTTTCAACACAAGAACCTCACCCGGACTGTCAAGCATGGTGGTGGGAGTATTATTGCCTGGGGTGTTTTTGCTGTCCCAGGATCCAGACAGTTTACCACCATTGACAAAATCAAGAATTTGGTGTTATTCAGCAAGACAAATTACTGTACAAGCAGATGTACTGTACAACAGAATGTCTGAAGAAGAAGAAATTTAATATTTTGAATTGGAAAAGTCAAAGTCTGGACCTAAATGACATTGAAATGCAAGACCTGAAGCAAGCTGTTCACGCAAGAAAACTCTCAAATGTCACAGAGTAGAAGCAGCTCTGTAAGGAACACTGAGCCAGAAGTCATAAAACCTGATGCAAGAGATTGATAAACAGTAACAAGAAACATGTCATTGCAGCTCACAGAGGTGCACCAGTTACTGAATCTAATAATTCACATACCCAAGGATCTTTACACAGGATTATTTTGATAATTAAATCATCCAAATATATCTTATGTACAATATTTATGTCTTATACGATTCATCAGGTTATCTTCATATTCTTCATTTTAATTCTAAAATACCGGAGAAAATGGACCACCCACGGGTTCACAAACTTTTTCTTGGCACTGTAGATGTGTGAATTACAACTGAAGCATGTTTGGAAGATTAAACACAATACTGACTATGAGTTGGACTCAAAATTCAAAACTGGAGTCTAAGAGAAAAAAAATAGACCAGGGATCATGAGCATTGGTCTTGAAGAGCCTCAGTCCATCAGGTTTTGTAGGTTACCATTAAATGTTCATGTCGGAAGACATGATATAATTCCACTGTGATCAATTAAACAGATAATTTGTTGAATTAATTTAGAGATCATTTAATACTCAAATCTAAGCACTCTTCAGCCCTCAGGGACCAGAGTTGTCTTAATTGAACAGATTATGTGCCTGATTCATCAACAGCTTACAGGTGTTGCCAATCTTTCAAAACAGGTGACCAGTAAGACTAATTGAACTGGGTCTCTCAAGGACCAGCCGTGATGGATGACTTTTTAATGATATTAAGAAGTGTGTGGAAACAAAATGAACGCAGAGAGTAAAATATAAGAATCTTTCAAAGGAAGCCTGAAATTAGCCTTGGATTCTGATAATACATACATTTATGTTCATGTAAAGGCTGTTTAAATATTCAGCTTTATTTATTGCAATAGCAAAAGCTATCATTAAAAAAAATTGCACTTAGAAAAGCTGAGAAAATTAGCTGTTTTATTTTTTTTTGTCAAATTTGCTTACAGTTCATTCATTATATGCCCACCCGAATAAAAAATAAAAAACAGCTACTTGTTTTAATTTCAGCCTCTGTACTGAGTGTGGAGAAAAAGGCCAGGCAAACATGCTCCTCCAGTCAGTCCTCTTGTTAGAGCCATTTGTCTTGACATGCAGCAGGATGCGCTGTACAGGGCCTTGCAGGAGAGTCTAGCAGTGATTGCAGGGCTGGCAGGTCCCGTGCTGACATCACCACAAGCCCTGAGTGAGGGGGGAATTCCCAGTCACAGTTGGCTAGTGGGACAGTCCAATCTTCAACAGGCCTGGTCTGGCTCAAGCACGTTTACTGGTTAAGCCACTCCAGAGACCCTAAGGCATCTACTTTTAATACCAGAATATTTATTCAATAACTGTCCTCAGTTTCCGTCATTTCTTCCTTTACAGCTGTTTTCCTAAATTCTGGTCATACTGAAATGTTTACAGTGAGTGTAATCTGTTTTAATGATCTTTGTAACACGTTTCCTCCATTTGAATTCTGAAAAACAGCCAAACAACGCAGAAGGTCAGACACCAGCAGACTTTTTCCATCTTTGATTCTGTGCCATTCTGTGAGGCTCTGAAATTGCTTTCAAATGATTCCGTGGTTTGTTTCTATTACCGAGTTTAACTGAAAGTGGGGGGAAAAAACGTTGAAAAAAGATAAACAGGACTGGTTTAAGGTTTCCGTTATTGTAAACAACAAGCTATTTTACGCTGTAAAACATTTTTTCTAAAACATGTAGCTCAGGGGTGACGTGACTGTGCTATTGGTTATAATGCTGATAAGAAAAAAAGAAACGTGAGATTGTCTGTATACAGAAAAATAGAAAAGTTATTTCATGGGGTTATATAATATACTGTATCTGAGGTAAAGTTTTACAATATCTTGGTAATTGTAATTATCAAGTTAATTAACTGCAATGTCAGAAATGAGAACAGATTGCATTAAATTAGACAGCAGTGGAGTCTTTAAGGGCCTTGAAGATCTATTTGCTTTTGATGGTTGGAAATATTCAATAAATCCATAAACAATCATGCAGCATAACAGTGGAGTTGAGCACTTTTTAATATACTCTCAAGCCATAATAGCAAAGACACTTGTAATATTCTTTATGGCTGGTTAGTAACAAACTTGTTATAATATTGTTTTAGAAATTCACCTTGTTCAGGTAACTAGCATGCACAATTTTTCAAAATCATATTCATATTGACTATTCATATACAGTATTTTACCTTCTTAAGCAGAATTTGTAAACACTGAGGCTGGGGTTCTTCCATTGGTTATGATGTTCACTGTGCAACATATAGTAAAACATTTACAATAACCCAGGTCAATACTGGGTTTCAATTAGCTACACAGTATACAGTGTAAAGCACACTTCCATTTCTTAATAAGATACAGTCAATTGAGGGGAAAACAGTGATCCTTTCTTGGTAAACTGAGCAGTCTCCAAACAGCGTACCAAAGCCTTGCATTCCAGCATTGCACGCAATTTAAATGGGCAACATCTGCTTAGGTACTGTACACCCACACACATGTATTCAGGCACACAAATGCTGTATTGTACAGTATGTGATTTGTGCTTCTATAATAAGAATTATTAGGTACTTGTATTTATATAGAGCTTTTCATCCCATAGGATCCTTTATTCAATTCTGTTTATTAGTGGGTTAATCTATCCATTCATTTTCAGTAACAGCTGAATCGTTGGAGGGTTACAGTGAGCCAGAAATTAGCCCTACAGACACAGAGGACATGGTTGGGCTGTTAGTGTGTTCATTTGTTATGTACTGAAATGCTGCTTTGTAGAACAATGACATTCCATCATTAGATCCATATTTTCTGCTGATTAAAATAATTTCTTGTGAAAATAATTTGCAGATTTCAGCAACAGCCATACTCTAGAGCCATATTTTAAGTTCTTACCCTTAGCTGCTGCTATTAGTTGGTTAACAAGCTCCAGATGATGCAGTTAATAGCATGTACATTACGAAATTGCCTATAAAATCAAATTGCAGCAAAGCAAAATCCAGCAATTCCTTTATTGCTTCAGCATTTATCATTCTTACGGAGAGCTATGAGGAAAGTGTTAACCAACAAGAGGCATGTAGTGTTATTCAAGAGCAGCACTGTAAAGACCAAAGTCGTGCATCAAAAAAGAAAATGTAGATCACTTGGACATGGTAATTCAACCAGATTCAGGTTCTCACAGTATATGCTGTGTCGGGATGTTTAGAAAATGGCACCAGACATTTTGTTCATCTACTAAAATGGCAAATATAAGCAAACATGAGTTTGATCTAACACAGTGGACCATGAAAAATAATAGAAATGTTATTGTCTTGTGGCTTGTCTTACCAAGGTGACTGCGAGCTAAATTTACAAATGCGTCTTATCCAAAAATAGTTTTTATAAGCAAGGCATATCCATTGAAAAGCGATTAAAATGCTCTGGGAAGGTGAGAAACCATTCACATTCTGTAAAGCTCTTTCAAATCACGTTACACAGTGCTTTTAAAAAATTGTAGCATTTTAATTTTAAAATTGATGTAAAAACAATTGGATTTGTACAATAACCCCCTTTCCTTTTAACATTTTTTAAATTTCCTCCTAATAGACAATAATAAATTAACTCCGGCTTACTGCCAAGCAACTATAGCAACACACTCATTCAAAAATAACTGTCATTAATAATGCACTATTTCCTATTAGACATAACAAACTCTGATGAAGATGTATAGATCAGAACTGAATGTTTCTCATTCAGATTAACATGATCACATCTGCATGCAATTATAATATTTTTAGTATGTTCTGTTCCATATTTATGAACTATTACTGCTGTTGTTTACTTGCTACAGAAATTCAATAGTCCCCAAAGGTACAGCACAAAATTAGAAACAGTCGGTCAAAGAATGCAGCTGTAGAGACTGGATAAAGGCATATAAGTCGCTGTTTTTCAAATACTGTTGTTACCTCAAGCTGTATGATCTTCCAATATAATTCTCAGCTAATTGCCATTGCAATTTAGCAGCACAGCTGGCACATTGTTTTGTCAGCATTCTCTTAAATATGTCATTTAACCCATAAATTGAAATGTCACTTTTAGGGAAATCACTTAAAAAATGTAATTAACACCATGTTTCCTGGATGGAGAAATATGACTGCTCATGCAATTTCCATATACTTTAAAACAGCCGTTCATCTGGCTTGCTCTGCCAGGTAATTGAACCCGTTTTTTTTAAAGGGCATCAATACAGTATATTTCAACAGCGCGAAGTGTTTAATGCTTTTCTTATGACACGTCTGTGAGGAGCAGTGTTGAAGACAGTCCTTTGTAAAACGTCCCCTGAATCCCAGTGATATAATTGGCAATGTGCTGTGAGAAAAACATTGAGAAATGCAAGAAAATTAGTTTTAGAGGCAGAATAGTGTAAAGTTTAGGGTTGTAGGCTCCTAACTGGAAGCCTGGGGGGTTCAAATCCTTACTGTGAGTACTGTTGTATTTTTGAGCAACATACTGTACTTTACCCTCTTTGTGCCTGTCCTCCAGCTTGTATAAATGGGCACCAGTACTGTTGGTAGTATCCCTGTGATGAAACGGCAGCCCATGCAAGAGAGTTCATGTTCTCTCAGTCTGCTGTAGTCCTAAAGAAACCCAGATAAGCTCCTCTGCTACTGCTAATATACTTACTGTACATCATATTCTTTTAGTTTGTCGATACTCTGCTAGTTGCTTACAGAAAGTTTACTGTGTTGTCTTCTTCACTGTGTGCTGGAAAGATGATCCAAAGTTCAACAGAAAATCACCGAGACATTTTTGCAAGATTAGAAGGTTTATTGCCTTTTTTTATATACAATCTTTTCTGAAGCAGAATAATTCAGCTGATCTCTGAAAAGGTATGTTTAACATTTGACTTAACTTCTGTATGGAGTTTTCATGCTCTCCCAATGTTAAGGTGTGTATCTCCAGGTGCTCTGGTGTCCTCCCACCTTCCAGAGATGTGCTAAATTGGTTAATTGTATTTGTCTGTTTTTGCGTGAAGATCTCCTGTTATGGATTCCTGGACAGGATACAAATTGAAGCTACCCTTATCACTGACATTGGATGTATTAAATGCTAGTAATTCTTTAGTAACATCTCAGTATTTTCTAGTAGAATAGCTGCATCACAAAAAATATATAGCCTTGAATTGTACTTAAAATGTGAATAAATAACGTTTGTGAGCCTGATTAAGATTAAAAGTATTTGAAGTGCCATATATTAAAAATTTACATATAGCTAAATAAAATACTATCATCACACGTGAAATACGAGTTTTATGTAAAACATATTAGGAGACTGATAATGTGCAAATTAAGGCAGTATTCGAGACATTTTGAGAAGTCCTGACCTCACTAATGTGACCTCACAATAAGCTAGATTCAATAGCTTATTGCTGTCTTCACAATGTTTTCAAATGGTCTGCCTTGAAGGTAATACAGATATGAGAAAGACAAAGTCTGAAAAAGAATTATAGCACTTATATTTTAAAGGGGGCTGATAGGTTTCACAATTCTCTCCTCAAAGAAATAGCACAGCACCCATACAAAAATGTCCTTGCAGCAAGATAGATGTTTTAGTAGCAGAAGGATCAAAGAACAGGCCGTTCCTCTCCCTGTGTAAACACGAGGGAAGGCCGAATTCTGACAGCATCCTTTCAGGAGCATCCCAGCATGCTTCACACAGACTTTCTTCTCTTGCCAAAGACGTTGTTTATGAGCTTGGCCATGGACTTGGAGCCACTGTACCTCCGCCGGTCAGCCCGGTACTTCAGATGGTCCATCACATTGCGGATGAGCTTGATAAACAGGTTGAAAATCTCCTGGTAGTTCTCCGCGGCGGACACCTCCTGGAAGCAACACTTGTTTTCCAGGGCCAGGGAACGGGCCTCATCCTCACAGACCTGCCGGGCGTGGCACAGGTCTTGCTTGTTCCCGACTAGGTAAATGGGCACCTCCACCTCCCTGTACCCAGGAAATGCCAATATGTAAAACAAAGAGGGTTAGGAGAAGGGCCGCGGCCTTTACTGTATTGTGTGTTACATACAGTACTATAAGCAAGGTTCATAACACCCTGGGAAAAAAATACACAACTTTAGATTGTCTGCTTTTGTCTCCTGGAAGCCTTTCTTGGATAACTGTGAATTTATAGGACCCACAGTAAAGCTTTTTGAAATACAGAATCTGCTAGTAAGAGATATTTCAAGGTTTTACCAAACCTTTGTAGTTTAGTTATCCATCCAGAAACTAGTGTATGTTTTCCAGACATTTGCTGGTTACATCAAACGAAAGAACCTTTTGATTCTGATAACCTGACAGCTCAATAGATTGCTTTACACAGCCACAGACAATAACATAATGTAAATCTACTGTATATTCTACCACCTTAGAAGACTAAGGTGATATTTATATTTTAAAACCGAACCATGCTGCTAATTATATACACTAAAAGAATAATGAACTAGCTAGCTATTTTGAAATGTCAGTTAAGGATTTGTTTGAAATAAAACCTGACACAGAAATTTAACTCTCAGATCTGACCACCCGGGTGGTTTCATTTGTTATATAAAAGATCTATAATTAGGTCAAGTTGCAGAACTTCACACTTCCATCTGGTAATTTTAAATTGCTTTCTTGTTGAATATCGTCCTAAAATCCATTTCTGGTAATACTTTGTAATATTTTAATTAATATGAGTTGCAAAATTGGATACAAGCAGTTATAGGATTGCCTTGCAATAGTCAATTGAGCTGAAGAATTAATTTAACTGCATAATTAACTTAAGAGAGCCCAGAGGCCTTAAGATCTGTGTATGAGGCTTTATAAGGCAATGTCTCCATCAGAGACAGCTGGCTCCTTAATAATTGAAACCTGGGTTATTTTCCTTGTACAAATATAACTATTCTGTATTAAAGGAGCATTTCTCAGTCTGTTACATTAACTCAATACTCCGATTTAAATGGATAGTTTCCTGTTACAGTACAAGGAATGCTATTCATTAATTCATTATAATCCCATCTTTAACTTGCATCCCTCTAAGGACACAACTAATGGACATACAGTAACTCACCCTTTGCAGTTTTCGATGCGGGCTTCTTTGATCTGGCGCACAATGTTTTTGGCATTGAGGAAGGAAGTACGATCACTGATGTTATAAACCACAATGAAGCCATCCGCCCATTCCTGGGGTTCTTCCAGAATGCATCTGCTCTCGCCGCTCTGTGAGGGATGAGTAGTGTTATCAGCTGTACAATGTTTCTACCTCTGCTCTTCTAGGAACCTTACACAGAAGGTCCTGGGAGGGGGGGTATCTTTTTAAAATAATTATGAGCTAATCACTGAGATTTAGGGAACACACGCTCATTTAACAGTGCTACAAGTGCAACATTTAATTGTACAATGGTGTGTGCCAAGTATTCTGTATTGTAAATAGGATTTTCTTTTAGTTAATGTAGGTACAGTTATTATTGTTGGCCTCCAATGTTAAAAGTCAAACCGTTCTGATGTCATACATCTTGCATACTGTAATACTACACATCATACTCAAAAGCACATTTGAAAGGTATTTTTATGAGGTTCCTGATTATGTATAAAAACCGACAGACTGCATGTGATTCTCAAATGTGTCTCATTACGTACCTGGGAGCAGGGATCAAACACTTCCAGATTCAATTGGCGGCCATCGATTGAGATCCTTTTACGGTATAAGGAATCTGCAAAATTTTCATTGCAATTGTAATTGTTCATTAATGGATCATTTCATGGAAATGCAGTTTGATAAACATAGCATATATATGCTGTTTTTGTTCTATGAGATAAATTGATAGAATAAAGACAATTTCAGAAAGAATAGCATATCTTTTTGAGATTGATTGCATCAAAAATCCTTAAGGTTCAAAAACAGTTTGATGTACCTGTGACTTTATGTTTGGCAAGTCATTTGTTAGTCATTTGACAAACCCGCAACCCTGCTCTACCAACAGAGTCAGTCGGGGCCTTTATCTCAATAGAAGCATGATGTTAATAAAAAATTGGCAAAATACTCTGTACATAATGGTGTAGAATTATTCTTTATTTTTGGAAGGTTCAGAATGTTGCTGGTTAGATTAATTTAGTTATTTATAAGAATTAAACAAACAATAGTCACCTGGCAAAACAATTTTATCATTCCCAAAAAACACATATGGTTTGATTTTGTTATTTGGCCATAGCCCAAAACAAAGCTTTTGAAGTCCAGTTCTTTTAATCTCTTAATCATATTTATACAATAACCAAACTTCAGAAGAAAACAAAATTCAGACCAGTGAAAGCTAAGAAAGACTGATCCTTAATAACTGGATCGCAATTAGTGTAATCAATGGAGCATATTAAAATATATATATAAATTAAAGAATATAGATATCACCTTGTTAGCAGTTTAAATGTCCATTATTCTGATTAGGAGTTCACAGTTCATTAACACTTAATGAAATATTTTTGAAAAACTGATACTTACTAGCATTTGAAGCATATTCTCCAATAAATCTTTTGGTTAAGAATCTCACAAGAACAGCTAAAAAAAATCAGAAACATGAACATTTTGCAGTATGGTGAAATAAATTGAAGTTTGGGTTTTATTTTTTTTTCAAGCATTTGTGAAACTTGAAAAAAAGCTAATCAGTTTATCTTTATTATTATAAAGCATTATTATAATTACAATCATTATTACATTTGTATTAAATTGTATTCATTCAGTATATGGCTTCTATCTGTTTGATTTATGGGTAACATAATTGCACAATTAGATTTTTGTCTTTCATATTTCATTCAAAATTGCCTGCACCCCTAAAAAAGAAGAAAGCAGTCATACTCTCTTCCTTTGGACATACAGTAGGACTGAATCTTTTGCTTGATAGAATTGTGTAGCGGCACTTTTTTGAGCAGGCTTGAAAAATAAGGCAGCAGCTCTTAGGAAAAGACATTAGAACTTACCTTGTATTTTGTATTAATTGTGATGTTCAATTTTTCAAATGATTAAAATGATTGATATACAACAATTAAATATCTCTTAATGTGAATAACCCGAATAAAACAATACAGTGAATGTGCTTTATGGAGCACAGTTGCTGTTTTGGGTCCTATGTAATTTGTTATTCAGAATGTGTTCTGGCACATTAAAAAACGTTAATGTTGAAGAGCATAAGCTGTATGAAATATAAAATCAAACCAAAGTGTTTGAGAGAAATATTTGCTTGCAACACGTCTTCTTCAGTTAAGACATTTCAACATTAGACTATAGCAAAGTAAAAAGAAAATGTGCCAGAAGCAGGGGAAATGCATAAGCAGAGGTTTGTACATTTCCACGGAAACCACATTAAAATCCGGCTGGACAAATGGGGCATCCTACTGTTTTATTTACTCATGTCTACTGCTGGTCTCCGCAAAAGTGCAGAAGAACCCAAAAGACAGGGTGTCCTATACGTGTGCAGGGTTTTCTTCATGTGTCCAAAGTAATTCGTTTCTGCCAGTAACAATACACAGAGAAGAGCAAACACAGACGTGGGGGAGCACCAGTGGCTGTTTTGCAAAATTTCCCTCGTTTGTTGTTTCAGGACAGTTTCATTTTTCACCCCACTGCCATTTGTCTTCATCTCCCATTGTTTTGCTTTTGCATATACAGTAATGTAAGAGAAGAGAAAAAAGAGGCAGCAGCCATCTCTCACATGGTGGAGAATGCCTGCACAACACAAATGTGTTACGCTGACCATTTTCACATCTGCTTTCTACTTAAGTAAGAAATGAACCCCAAAGGCAGCAACTCCAGTCTGTGTTGTCACTCAGGAGTTTTTCAGGCTCTACAGTTTCCCTGCTATTCTCTAGCTTTGTCTCCTAACTTTACACAAGAGATATAAGATCACAAAGAAGCTGAAAGCACAGAATACATCTAAATCAGAGTTAACACCACAAGGCATCAAAGAGCTTACCTGATTTTCCTGCACCTTCGCTTCCCAGAAGAGCGAGTTTTATGTCATTCATGCTTGCAGTGTCTAAACTGTCAGCGGTCCTGTTAAATTTGCTTTAGGTTTTAGTCACTTTCAGTCAGAAATAATAAGCTGTCTCTTGAAGCTGGACTGCAGGAAGGTTAGCGCAGGAAGAACTTCGAATTAATGCTACTTATGAGACCAACTCTCTTACTACAGATCCCCCCCACCACCACCTCTCTCCAACAAAAGAAAAACACAGCGTATGAGCTCTCCTCCCACTAAAGGAGGAAAGCTTCCAAGTTAGGATCACGTAAGTTGAGTCTTCTTTTTTTTGTTTCTTTTCTTTTCTCTTTTATCCCAAGGCTACTGAAAGTAGAACATATCCAGGTGGCTGCAGTAAGTGTTTGACAGAGTGTGTTCCATTAGATAGTCAGTCTTCTTCAAGTCTTCATATTTTTGCTTTTTTGTTTCTTTTTGTTATGGAATGAAGGCATCTGTTTCTTTAAGCAATTTATTGCAATATGACTGTTTTCTTTGCAACAATTGTGCAAAGGGAAGTTTTGTTGTGTGGAATTTTCTTCATATTTTTCTTTCATTCATAAGTTTAGGCACATACAGATTTGAAGAGGTTTAAGTGGATAAAGACCAAAAGAATGAGCTAATTGAAAGGGACTTAAAAAGGTCAAGAACAGAGGTCTTGAACACAATTTTCTGTAAATCCAAGTGTCCAAATTCTTTTCTATAAATGCATTAGTCACTCATGGCACTTAAGTAAACAGAGATACATTTAAATTTAAAATCTTTTCATTTATTTGAAATAAAAAAGGCAGTGATAAAAAATGTACTATCAGAATTTAGAAAAAATATTCATGCATATCACTACAAAAGATGCATAAAACTAGGGCTTGACTAATACAGTTTAGCAAACCTTTATGTTAGAACTGGGCTATATTCAATTAGAAACCAAATTAAGTGACACTAGGGGGTGATTCTCAGAAGTCTTCATTTTTTAACAATTGATTTGTCAAGTTCTGTAAACGTCACAAGTCTTGTTCTTGAGCACACATTATTTATATCCAAACCTGTGAAAAAGATTACTATTGTGCATGAGTGCAGTCGTTTTTTTTCTTATTATTATACTTCTGATTCATAATGCAATACCATAAAAGAAAAAAAAACTATGTGTGAGTGACAAAATGTTATCTAGCCATATTCTTTTATATAGGGTGTACAGGGTAAAATAATAGTCTTTTATGAGTTTCAAATAATGCACAATAATGCACATTGAAAATCCTTTGAAGTATTTATAAAGACCAAACACTTTAATTGCAGATACCTTTTAATAACTCATGAGCATCAGAACATGAGAAAGTTTACAAATGAGAGAAATATGTAAGGCCATTCGGCTCATCAAGGTGTTTGGTAATTAGTGGCTAATACAGATATTAGGATCTGTTCCAGCAGTTTCTTCTGTGAATTAGCTTCAACAACTTGGCTGCATAACTGGTTCCATACTCACACAAACCTGCAGAAAGAGCTGCCCCCTGTTCTCGGTCTAAAGACACTTCCACATAGTTTCCTCTTGTATCCTCTGCTTTGTTTCACTATTGATTCTGCCGAAGGCAGCTGGGTTGTGTTTGTCAATGTCTCTGAGATTTTTGAATAAGTGGATCAGCTCTGTTCAGGACTGAAAAGCTTTAGTTCTTTAAGCCTGTCAGTGTAGGACTTTGTTTTGTGAACACTGACATGTACTGTATCTGGGTGCTCACTGTGCTTATTCCAAAGCAGCAATACCAAGGCAAGTTCAACCTGCCTTGAAGAGGCTACTATGAAAAACCAAGAGTTCCATTACATATGAATTGCACTTTGACAGTAGGTAGTTAAAAGAAAGCAAGTCCCCATCTTCAAATACAAAACTTTCAAATACATTTTTTCTTACTATTATTCAAGATGTGCACAGGCTGAGAACATCAAGAAATATGTTTATGAAATATATATAATATTTTTTTCTAATAATTCAAATTGTTCAAGAAAAGCCACTTGTCCATAACACAGCAAATAAAAAGCATTATGACAGATAATCTCATTAGATGACGCCCTGCTGAAACTGGAGGTCTAGGCGTTAGAAGTCTTCTTTCATCTTTATTCACATCTCTAGTTTCATTTTTTATTTGAAATTCTTCAATCAAGTGACTAATGGAAATATCTACTCTCCCCCTATGGCTAATAATCAACACTCATCAGGTAGCTACAGTATATACTGTACCATAAGCAATTCCCTAGCAATTTGAGAGAGCTCAAACAAATCCGACAAGAAGAATAGACAATAATTACACCAGGCTCGTGTGCGAAGTTGGTAGAGACTTACCCTAAAGCACATGAGCCTATGAGCCTGCAATTCCACATATAAAATATAGGATTATGTGCACAGCCATGGTGAAGAACATCATCATTTTAAGGCTTCACACTTCATATTTCCTTAATTACACATACAGTATATACTGTATATACAGTATACTTAAAATGTAAACTCCAGTTAATTTCCAAGTGAGACAATACAATAAACGTTTCCATCAGTCTTTTTTGTGTACAAGATCTAAACTGTAATTTAACATTTCTGTTCCACTTTCTTGGGCAATTTGTTAGAAAACTTTTTTTCTGTGTTTATTTGCAGACAGTTATTTCTTTATTTTGCTTATTCTCTAAAATTGCCCTTTAGTGCCCAAAGCTGAGTGAGCTCTGTTCTTGTCCCATTCCAATATTGTACATTTCTGATGACAGAAAACTCATTGACCTGATTCAAGACCAAAGGTACAAGCTGTGCCCATGTTTTGAAACATGATGTACAAGCCAGCTCCTCATTTGTGGAAGAACTCTGGATAAATGTGAATCTGACTTTAACCAATGTAATCAGATTATTAGCATAGCTGCTAACATACCAATGCAAGCAAATATCCAGTGTCTGTCCATTGCATCATAAGGTCACAATATAAATAATGTAAAAGACACTTGGAAACTGTGAACCAAACTGATTTTTATTAGGAATAGTAGAGATAATCTGAATTTAAAATATTTACTGGAAAAATGTTAACTGGTTAAAATATAATCAATACAAGATATACAATGTTAAATGACAGATACATTAAGCACAATAAACTGTTTTCAGCCTTTAAAATCTTCCATCTAGATTTTCAATACCAGATCAATTTGAAAAAATCATTAGATCAAATCTTTCCCCCAGTTTGTATTTTCAATTATCACAAGTTTTTAATAACCTGATGTTAAAAAAGGTGATTTGAGCCCCATTAGAGTGGATTAATTATATGCTAATTATCTCACATTTGAGCTTTGTGAAGCAGAAAATGAATAGTCAGCCTTCAGAGTCATACTGCAGAGACAGTGGGTCTCTTATTAAAGGTGTAATTTCTTCAGGAGTGTGACAAAAAACTGCTTGTATTGCAGATAACTTTGTTTCTTGCTCTGGAAGATAAGGAAGATATACACAAATACAAACTGATCTATGCTGTCACTGAAACACATGTTTATTAAATTTACTGTGTGGGAAGTAAGACAAAGAGTTTGGTGATCAGTTACAGTTGATGTACTGCTCCAATAATATATTTAGAACATAAGAAAGGTTTCAGATGAAAAGAGACCATTCAACGCTTCTGGTCCTTTCCAGTAGTCAGTAACTAAACAATCCAGAGATCTCTGAACTTTTCTGGAAAGAAACCAAAGTACTTGCTTCATCAGCATGACTGGATTGCTTGTTCCATACTCCCACAGCCCACCTGACGTAATTTTTAAGGGATCTAGGTTTAAGCTACCTATGGCAGCACTACAGCTCAAAGCAAATCTGCCCCTTGAGAATGTTTGGATTGATGGAATTAGTTTCAATGTGTTTTGCAACACGAAGTGACTTGGAGGAATTTATCGCAGTTTATCCATCCTTTTTATGGGTAAATGCTAAGTAGGGGGATTACTTTCTGTTTACAAAGTTTTCAGTCTTCAGTATTCATGTCTCCCTTTCCAACAGCAGCCCAACACACTTGTCAGCATAACCAAGCTCTTCACTGCCTGAAGTGTGAAATATCTTTTAACACTTTTGAAACAAGTTACTTTGTTTGGAGTAAATTACTTCATTTGCCAGCTTTAAATACGTGTTTCAATAGCCTTTTCCAAGGAGAAACAAATTCTTAGGAAGTTAATTGAGCAGTATACTTCAGGCTTTTAATGTTTAGTTAAAGAATATAGAGCTGAGTCCATGTCAATATATATTACATGCTTTAGGTGCCTCATCACCTTATTAAAACCAGGCAACAGACTACTTCTAGACTTTAAGATGTATAGTACTTTACAAGCTGGGTAATAATTAAACCAATTAAATGTATTTATTAGTCTAACTTAAAAAGCTTGAACAATGTAAACATAATGTGGATTTTCTTTCTGATTTTAAAAGAGGTTTTAGTCAAGTGCCATTGTTTTATTTATGTGTGGTTATTATATTGCTCTAATTTATGATGAGATACACAATTACAAAGGTTCATACAGTTCTTTATTCACACTCAACTTCTACCTTAGATGTAGCCAAAAAGCCAGAGTAGTAACATAGAGTGAGACTCTGAACCACAGTAAATGCAATTAATCTACTGTTGAGGGAGGCCCAGAATAAAAAACGGAAGAAACAGAAACACTCTGAATTAGGAAAGTTAGGGGAACATGGATTATAGCAATTAATGTTTTACATTGTATAAACCAATAATAGTTTACAGATGAAGCAGAGAAGCAAATTGCTCCCTAAAATATAACCTTTTCTAATTGACAATGAGAAATGTGTTGTGTTTAGAAGAACATGAAGGCAATCTTTTAGACAACTGGGTCTCCAATGTAAACATGCCAAATGTGACACACAAAACATTGTTTTTATTACATCATGTCTGGTCCTATAACCAGATGTGGTTTTGATGTCTTTTTACTTAACTTTGAAGGTGCTCTAGAAGTTTGTAGGGCTTTGAACAGATATAATTAAACTATCCATCAGGAAATTGCCTGTGCCTGGGGGCAATAGGAGGAGTGTGTTTTCATTGATGAGCTAAAGAAAGTTAGCTGTATTCTGAACGTTTACTAGTCCAAATGTTCAACAGACCAAAATACCCCCTAAAGCTGAACCATAATGCTAGCATTGTAATTATTGAAGCATTAAAACTTAATACTTATGCAGGCTATTTAAACTTTGGATGCCCTGAATGAATGCTCATCAGACACCGAATGGTGAGATTTAATTACAATAGCATCTTCATCTTAACAGTGGGATAATAACCATTAACAGTTACACTTATCACCAAAGTATCCCAGTAAGGGAAGTTATGGGAAAATGAAATCCAGTGCTCCCTGGATGATTTATAGTGCACTGAGCATTTGGTATTTTGATACAGCCTTGGCCTGAGTATGATTTGTAAGGCCAGGTACTTTATGCATATTAGATCTACAGACACAGAGAGCCCTGTGCTAATTTACTGCAGCAGATTGATATACTCAGTGCAGGTTTTTTACTTATAATGAAATTAACCAGGACTGTTCTTGGAACCCTTTACCATCTAAAGAGTAGACAAGAGTAGACAGGGCCTTGGTTTATTAAGCTGCAGGGTGTACTCCCAGTCCACAGTCTGCTGAGCCTTCCGCTGTAGGTTTCGAGAGAGCAAGAAGGAAGAAAGAGAGAGTTATTTTGACACCGTATCTAGATTGTGCTGGCTTCAGTTAATGAAGTGAACCTGTGAAACCTGTGCGCTCTGTTGCTTCTTCCTCTTCTGTGATGCAGCCACTCAAGAACCAATATTTTTTTTTAAATGTTGTTTTTTTTTATCGTAGCTGAAAAATGTAATTGGATGGGGAAACGATCTGCACTAGTAAGGCCTCAGTGGCCCTCGAAGAGCCTGGACACGAGCTGCCTCCTCTGCCACCGCATTTAAGATGCTAGTCAACAAGCCTGTGACAAAAGATTAGCCTTAAATGAACCACCTAATTGTTTGAATATACTGTATGTAGGCTAAGAGCTGCAGCTCACTTGGCTTTGCACACTGTGAGAGAGACTATCCCTGTGTAAAACAGGGTGTGATGTAATGTAGGAGAGTTTTGGTCTTACTCCAGGTACTGATGTGCGCCTGGCATCAGCAGAACAGTAGTTTTAAAATGATAAAGTGCAGACTCCAATGAAAATGTAAGAAGTATCCTTATATTATAACCTCACCTTTGTGTGAAACTGTAGACAATTAAGTACAAAGATCAGTCAACCCTGTTGTCATGAAAACCACCACAGGACTGAGGAGACTGCACGATTCTGATTCTGTGACTAATGAACAAAGATAGCGTTGTGAAGCAGTCAAGATTAACCCTTTAATTGTACCATAAGTCATTAAAATAGAATTTCGAAAAAAAAGGACTGCAGACTCCTTCAGCAGATACTTCCCTGAGCAAAAGTTGAGAAAATATCAAACATCTTATATGAGACAATGCCACCCAATCTCAACAACTTGGTTTAGCAGACAGACAAAATTCAAACTTATTTCTAAAGAACTCCGCTCTATTCATTTAAGATTTAATTAGGTGGTGTAATGTGAATTCAATAGACAATGTGGTACTCTTGATATGAATACATTTAATTAATCCTTTTTAAAGTAAATAACAATATACTGTATGTTATACAATATACTGTACTCACGTGCCCTATGGACCCATAAATTGTTCTCCTAAATCCACATTTAAGTATTGCCATCCCAAAATGAACGTAGTGCTTGAATGGCTTCTATCATATTCACCAAGACAATGTGAGAATTGGAAGAAATGAAGAAAACAAGGTCATTTACAAAATTTGAAAAGCTCAAATAAATAATAACACAATTACAACCCAGAATTGTGATTATTTTTTCTTCACTTTTTCACCACCCCTTTAGTTTTCAAGAACTATTTAAATTCTCACTGCATTTAAGTGTTCTGTGTTTTGTCAAGTAAACAGAAGTCCAAAGCAACTTCAGCAATGAAAATCACATGGACTGAACTGTGGAATGACACACTATGCTTATTTGAACTGTTCTGCATCTGTTATGCATCACAGTCAAATCGTGTCATGCTTGAAATCAGTGATGAAAGACTAAGTCCTGTTATAGAGTTTTTTTTAAATAAATCTTTAGTATAAACTTGGATGTGAGATGCCAAGCTGCCATAATTTAAGGTAATTTTATTTCAACAAACACTGAGAACTCATACACATTTTTTCAAAAATAGCAAATGGAGAAATTTAACAATAGCATGTAATATGAATAGCAAGGCATAAAGGAAAAATACTGTGTTTGCCCTTTTTAAGTTTGTTGATATGTTGAGTTATTATTTCTCCTTACATGGAAATAATAACAGTATTTTGACTGTCTCTGTGGAATAAAATGACTGAAATGTCCTTCTTGAGTTCAGAATTCTATATGAAGGCATAAAAATAGTTAGGAGAGCAACCTCTAGCTGCAGCTTAAACCAAAAGTGGTATAGACATGGCAGTTGGGACTGAGAGGAATAAATGCACCTACTGTACTAGTGTAAAAGCAAATTAATGTGTTTGTTTGTAACCTTAATGTTACAAAATCTATAAATAATAAATAAACAACCTGGCTCTGTTATTTGCTGCAGTGGACAGATTCTAAATCATTTCTCGGATTGTTTTCTCTCAGGCTCCTCTTTCTGTTCATGTCTTGGCATCACTCTGTGTGCGAAGTCTAAAACAGCACCTGATCTCATCTACACCAGTTAGGATTCTGTTCACTTTCCATTAAAGCCCTTCAGCATAATAGCAGTAGTGTGCGTTGTCTAAATTATAGTTGTCACGTAAAACTGCTTATCCCAGCTTCAATAATCTAATGACATTCCTTCGATGAAAATGCATGGCTGTCACCTAGTAACACTCTTCAGCCTTCGTATGTTGGAATGTAGAAAATGTTTAACTTTTTTGTTTTCATCGAAAGGGCAATTTAAATCACTTTTATTTGACACTCAACAAAGTGAGAATGCTTTTTGATGGTCTCTTTATTAGTCTTGATGCAATGCGAACCTTACAACCTCTGTAACCCCTCAGAACTCCTGCAGTAAGGTCTCCCTCTTGTTGACAAATCGGAAATGACAGCAAATCTGACAAGATTCTCTACAATTCACTCAAAGGCATTAATAGGAGGTCCTTGGAAAACATACAGAGTAGAAAATAACTACCTAGAAAATATCTTTATCTTGTAAGAGTAGAAAAGAATGTTAAAAAAATTAGTTCAATGCATTAGATCAATAAGAGTTGTTTGTTCTTGACCTTAAAATCCGGTACAGTCTTTGTTAGTCCTTATTCACAAACTAAAAGTTACATACTGTCCTCAGCTGCCAATATTAATAATGGACAAGCATGATAAAAAGACATTTATCAGGAATGTCAGAAAATTCCTTGATTATAAACTAGTGAGCATTACCGGCCGGTAGAATTTGGATGCCTTTAAAGAAAATTAAGTATTCTATTTTTTTTTAAATGGCCATTTAAATCTGTTTAGTAAAAGGTCCATGTTAAAGCCCAACCTCCCAACAATACTAATTCAATCAGGTGTGATGGTTACAACTGCTCACCTTTGGAAGCTGAAAAAAGAAGAGACAATGCAAGATAAAATAAAGACCATGTCCCTCTGTCCCCTATCCTGGATGGAATCAATCTCACATTTTTGAAAAAAAATATATCTGATTTCTGCCTGCAATATAACTGAAAGACCTTTTTTTTAAAAAATGAGAGATTCTAGAGCTTTGCATGTTGGACGGCTTCTTCAAAAATAAGGACGCTAAAAGTGGTGTTTCCTCCAGCTGAGAGAGTGCCTTCGTTTCCTTTTCCTGTGAAAGTGTTCCTTCCCCTCTGCGGGCCAGGGGAAGCCGTTGTCACCCACTTTATATGTGCCATCAAACTCCTCTGTGTCCGAATCGTCCGTCACTTCTGGAAAGACGTTATCCGGAAATTCCTCCTTCAGCTTGGCGTTGAACAGCGCCTCAAGGTTTCTTCCTGCCTGGGCCACCTCCGAATCTGGCTGCAAACCACAAGTCACACTGCGCTGAAGCTGTCTGCTGTTTGAAATTCACTTCTCACAGGACGCCTTACCTTCAGGAATATCTAATTACCTCTGTGCTAGGGTTCTGTGTAGCGTTTAAGCTTGCTGGGAGAAAAGACGTAGGAACATGCTATCCCACTGCAGAATTCGTAACAATATGCCTGTAGTATGAAAGACCCTTCACCAAATGTCTGTATCGCTCAACTATTCCACTCTGTCTTACAGAGTTGATCAGCCTAACATAAGCAGAGCTCCTCTAAAACAACCTCTCAATGACCAAAGATCTGGATATACTATATAATACATCCTACACTGATTTAAGCACATTTGGATTTTTTACAGCAGTTTTTTTTTAAATTGACACTTTACCATGGTTTTCATTCTTGTCAATATTGTGCTTGTCTATGCTTTTCACTTCTTTTTCTTTAAATTCCATTTGCTTCTGATTTAACACATCCATGCTTGAATTTTCTTCTTGTCTGAAACTAGCCAAGATGAGAGCTTGAAGGTGCAATGCAACAAAACATATACCAAGTCCAGTTTTTCAGCTTTTTTACATAAGGTTCTGACTCTGTCCTGACATGTAAACATACAAAAGGACTATTTGTAGATTACGAGTCTCAAAAGGAATGTTCAAGCATGTGTCTTTTTCAGGACTATTGTGTCAAAAAAAATAAGTAACTTTACTTACGTAATTGAACTTTGCACAGTTCCTAAACATAAGAAAGACATCTGAAACAAACTCCTCAGGTGTGTAGTAGTGAAGAGGGCTCCTCTTATTCAGTTTACTTCTTATGACAGAGAGGTCCATTGGTTTCTTGATTATTTGGTAGTAATGACGTGCCTGTATTAAACAAAAGCAAAAATGAAAAACTCTTTTCCTCTTTACAGCTGCTATTCTTCAGCTGATTTGTTTATTATCTTATTACACTGAACAGACAAAAATAAAACAACAGCACACGCTAAGAACAACATAACAATTAGTGTAATAACTCGCAACTGGCTTCTTACAAATGTTGCACTATTTACAGTATGTCTCAGCACTCCTTATTCTGTTTAGTCAGCTGTGGCTCTTACCAGTGGACTCACAGGCTCATGGAATGGGGCACTGAGGACACTGCAGTAAATAAACAGCGTCAGTTTCTCACATTTCTGTGGAAGAGAAGGTGAAACAATTTATCGTTTTCATGAAAAGTAAAGAAAATGCGAAAGTGTATGAAATCATCATCATACTAACATCAATATACATCCCAGCGGTAGAATGTTATCAATTATTGGATTCAGATTCAGTGTTTGTGTCACAGTTACAAACTTATACTGTACGTCAGAATAGGAAAAAAGAAGTGTTGCATCTGTGTCATCTGCCTCCCTGTGTTTAGAAAACGCTATTCTCTACTGCATTACTGAGGAAATAATGGGTATTTGTTCTTTAAAACATCTTTTGCTGCTTTGTGACTCTTAGACAGTACAGTATGTACTGTACACAACTGACATACTTTACTGTCCTTCTTTATTCCCTAAAGAACTCTGCAATCAGACATTTGCTGCTACCCAATAAATAACGGTTACGCAGAGAGTAATTGTATAGCTCTAGTATGCATTCTGGCTTACCCGCTGGTCTAAGACGGACAGTCCGTACTGAGGTGTTGTTCCCTTGTGTTCTGCAGTCAGACGTGTGTTTTCACAGTCGTACTCCATCTCTGGATCAATGAGATTACGGCACAGTGTGCAAACCCAGTCACCCCTGCAAAACAAAACGAAGGGGTTCGCTATCAACACAGGAGCTCTGCAGAGCGTTGAAGCAGGAGAAATCAGCTGGATTACTGTTTCTGCATTTTTAAAAGCTGCAATGCCATGCCACCTGTAGAATTTACTCAACTAAATCGAAAACGACATCAGCACAAGAGAGATGAAAAAATTATCTTCAATTTTACATTTCCAAAATGCTAAACTTTAGCAATGTGCACACTGGTCTATTTGAAAGCTCAGTGAAATGAAACGTAAGCAGAAACGTTTTGGTATGCTTTGATGAAAATTCTTCTCCATCTGGGAAAGCAATCTATGATTTTCAGATCCCCCGCGCTGCACCCTCTGTCAGAGTGGAGGGGGGTGATGGGTAGCAGACTTTGTGCTAATTTGTATTTGTGGTGCTTGGTGTTGTGGATGACTGACAACTTTATTTTTGATTGTATGTTTATAAAAAACAATAAAATACAAGTAAAAAAGGTCACTAAAATCATTGAGGGGATTTATGTCATTGCAATTTTTATGTCTTCTCCACAAGCATGTTATTCCCAGAAACTAGCCAATTTAATTATTTCTTTACCATAATGTGTTCTTTTAAGCTGCATAATATCCCAGTCAATTTCTCATGAAATACAGCGAGATACAAGCTGATTCCCTGTGTATTAGGCCTTTAAAGTCAACAAAATAGAACAAATTTATTGCTTGTAAATAATTTACACAGTCATCTGACTTAGCCTGCTTTCCAGATCATGACAACAAATACACTGAATGTAAAATAGTGAGAATTAAGCCCTAGCTCCATCCTTACACAGGAAAGCTGAGGAGTGGGGGGATGTGACAGGAGAGATGGAAGACTTTGGGACATCGATCGCAACACAGCAAATCGCCTCCGTTCAAGCAGACTGCACAGAAGTCCTCGTTCTCCATAGTGTTCTCAGCGGAGGGTTCTGCCTCATTCTCCCCACAGGCCTCTCCCAGCTCCTCGGTTCCCAGGTCTGGCTCCATCTGAGGGGGCTCGGCTGGCCTCCCCACCTCTGGACACTGCAAGTTCCCCGAAGGGCTGGGAGAGTCCGAGTCATCGCCCGCTGATGGCTCAACAACACCGTCCACTGCTGGGAGTGACAGACAGTCCTCTCCGGTATACTCTGTCCCACAGCTGCCTTTGTCCTGCAAACAGATCAGAGTTGCATGCAGAGATTAGTTTTAAGAAAAGCTTAACCTGCTCTTGTAATGTTTTAGAATAATGCTTCTTATGGCTTAGCACGTTTTAGTTGACCACCTCAATAATATTTATTTGGTAGATCTGAGTCAAACAAGTATAAGGTGTAAAATTCAAAATATTATTCCTTTTTGTTTGTGCATTGTATTGTTTATATTTACAATTACAGTTTTGTGGAGGAAAAAGAAACAAATCTATCTAGTACAATTAATGCAAATGTAATTTATTGGTGAACACAATGTCTCCATGTCAGCAATACAACACTGGGCTTTGAATCTCCAAAAGGATACAAGGTTTATGTAAGAATCTGTGTTTTTTGCCTTTTTGTAGCTAGAATATGTTGGTAAGCTTCAGTACGGTCCCTACTTGCTCAGATCTAGCTCCTGTTTCCGTGTCCAGGTCTGTGCCTGCAGGAGGGGGGGCATCGTTCTCCCTGCTCTCTGAGGGTAGCTTGAGTGCTGGAAGCTGGCCAGAAATAGGGCAGATCTTCAGGCGCTCCAGGCGTACAAATGGAACCATAGGTTTTACTGGGAAGTTTGAGATTTCACTGGGAACCCTGAAAAGTGAACAAAGGAACAAAGTGGTTTAAATGCAGGCCATATGCTATGATCACGTTGTGCCACGTCAGGTTAGGTCACTTTTGTACATTGCAGTAAACGTCACTGTGATTTACCACACTGGGTTTGACTGCCCAGTTTTCACACAACGGTTTTCGCAGAACAGATGCAGACAGGGATATCACGTGTTACGTTCTGCTGCACAGAGGGCTAAAGAATGTTATTTTTCTTGGCCCTGAGATGAATAAGAATGTATCCATCTCATCCAGGGTGAGAGCAGTCATGTCACGATCTAGCAATCCCATCTTGTAGTCTGTGCTTCTAGAATTGGCTTTGGGTTGTCATTACATGCACAAGAAGCTGGATGTTTTTTTTGTTATCCTTTTAGTTCATAAATGTTGTGTCCATACACAAACATTGGTGCAATGCATGCATTTTTGCAGATATAATTTTTTGCAAACAGGAATTTCACACCCTTTTTTTTCCTGCATGCAGTTATCACTAGGTTTTCTAATTTCCCTTTTTAGTTACAAAACTTAGAAGGAATGGCAGAAGATTAGTTAAATTCAGCACCCTGTATAATGCTCATTTCTGTATGTATAACTCTGACACAAATCAATATGTTTTTCACATGAAAGAAGTGCCTGTCCTTCAATTAAGGCTCACACACACAGTATACTATACCTGACAGTATTCTGTGAAGAGTGTTCACCTTTAGCATCATCTCCTTCGTAAGTGCTGTGACCTAGTGAAGAAGAAGAAAGGGTGAAAAGCAATCAACACCTGGGTAAACAATAACACAGCCCTTTTTTAACTCCATTTTACTCATTGCCATTTCTTCCAAAGCAAGTTTTTTTCTTACTTTACTTTCTCATATAGCTGCAGTATCATTATCCCCTTCAGACAAGGTCACCTTAATAATGCATAAATTTCCACACTCCCGAACGCAACAGTTCAAAAATATTAAACGTTTTGCATGAATGTAAGTGGATGATAGCGCTGGAGCTTATCTGGGTTTCTATAGTGATAATGAAACTGAGAGTATGAGACTCCCCCTAACTGGGACGCTCTGGATTAACTAAAGCACTTAGGATACAATACTGGACATAAAGATATAACAGCATTGTCTGCTGATGGCTTGAGACCACAGCTCGCAAATAACAGGTCCAGTATTTTGTGCTGCCTCATAAATAAAGTCTGATATCGTACGTATTTACATGAAATGCACAGGACAGGTAATGATAAATGGCAGCATCTTTTTAAGGTTACTAAAGAGAAAATTAACCAAAGCAGGAGTGACACAGAGGCAGGCGGTGAAAGTGAAAGCACTATTGATGATGGCCCACACACTCAATCGGGGCGCGACGCTGCCTCACCTGGCTCTGTCTTGAGGACAGTCAGAGGAGTGAGGAGCACGATGGGGGGGCTCATAGCTGCCCTGCTGAAGGACAGATTCATGGGCTGTGCAGGAGAGCTCCTGTCTGCGACTCCATCACCTCCGCCGGGTCGGATAAGGCCTCCCTGCCAGCGAAAACAACGTTGAAAATACAATAACCTTGGTAAGAATCATAACACCGCGTGTCCTGAAGCAAGAAGAAAACGCGCAGTGAATACACTCGTGGGTCCATTTTAAATCAAACGTATAACCGAACAGCCAGTTACTACAAACACAGTGGTGGTCCATTCCTGGGACTTCAGCATTGTGAACTATTATGTGATATTTTCAAACACATTTATTTTGTGTTCCATTTGACATTTGACATTTTTTTCTGAAGGCTTTAATATGTCTTCACTGTTCTTTACTACACAGGGCAATGTGACTATTTTCGGATGACACAATGAACATGTTAAAACCACAGGTAACCTTGTCAATCAAGGCAAAGGCACACTACCGTAATGCATTCACCCCGGTGAAATTATTGCAAAATAAAAGTTACCCATTCCTTTCCCACTTGAAGATCTTTTTAAAGTAAAACTTACATTTCTGTTTAATATATGCATACAGAACTTTGTTGTGTGGTACCAGTAAAATACCTTTAATAAACTATATTAGAAATAAATTTAATTTAGTTAATTGCAATTATAATTCCTTGGGACATCAAGGAAAATGTAAAATTAATAATAATAATAATAATTGCTTACACTTATATAGTGCTTTTCTGGACACTCCACTCAAAGCGCTTTACAGGTAATGGGGACTCCCCTCCACCACCACCAGTGTGCAGCATCCACCTGGATGATGCAACGGCAGCCATAGTGCACCAGAACGCTCACCACACATCAGCTCTCAGTGGGGAGGAGAGCAGAGTAATATAGCCAATTCATATATGGGGATTATTAGGAGGCCATGATTGGTAAGGGCCAATGGGAAATTTGGCCAGGACGCCGGGGTTACACCCCTACTCTTTTCGAGAAATGCCCTGGGATTTTTAATGACCACAGAGAGTCAGGACCTCGGTAAGGTAATTCCTTTGGCTTACTATGAAATAGGACAGATTTCACACAAATGCTCTGAAGCCAAATGCAATGAAGAGCACTCCAAGCATTTGATATATATCCTGTTGATAAATTCTTTAAAACAAGTCTAATCTAATAAATAAATAAATAAATAAATAAATAAATAAATAAATAAAACGACACCATAAGGAGCATAGTTAAGTTACTAGAATATATCAATCAGAGTAAAAGAGTCAGGAAATAAGCACTCTACAACATTTATTTTGTTGTGCTTTTTACACTGCTAACAAGATGGATGTAATTATTCCAGATAAAAGCCACTGCGTCATGCTGTAACCAAAACATACGAAGCTGGAAACATCTGTTACCTGAGAAACCAGAGTCAGTGTTTGTCTACATGTAAACTATAATGGGTTATAAAAACAACCTTTTATTTGGACTGTACACTGTTGTAATACAAGAGAGTTCAGTACAGTACAGTAGATACGCGGTGTTACTAGCTACAGAGCTGTTCAGAATACAAAGGTGTTACTCCGCCTACACACCCACACAAAGTCAAAATATCTAAGAAACAATAGCTGTTCCATTTGTCAACTCATAATTATGCACGGGTAAAGGCATTTCTTTGACAACACTGCAAGAACAAGAACTAAGAGAATCACTTACACAACAATGCACTGCAAACCACAGCCATGCACAAAGGCTGTATTAATGTACCTAACTCATTGCATTTCTTTTCTGGCTTACCTCCATTGAATCCATTGCAAACACATAAAGCAAGGCAGGCACTGAAACTTTTGTCAGCTGCCTGGAACAACAAACTACCACTGCTGTGCCCTTAGTCATATTTTTAGAAATTTAATGATTATTCATTATAAAATGCTTGACTGATTTGTTTTAGGAATGTCTTTAAGTTTGGGTGGAACAGTATCCTAAAAACATACAAATGCTGTTCTGTTCAACGTCTGTCTGTACCTGTGCTTGTAGCATGACTTGCACTGGTCACTAGCTCATTTCCACTTGAGGAACAGTGGCCATGATTGTTTTGCTGCTGTGAAGCAGTTGCCTTGAATCTTACCTTGCAGTCCTTGCTCCCATGGTTCCTGTGTCTTGTTGCTAAGCTATGTGCAGCCCCTAGGGGCTGGTGTTCAGAGAGAAGGTGTGCTGCAGACCTGGAGGAAGGCATCACAGGTTCTGACGGAGAGTCTCTGGGATGTGTCCTCTTCCCTCTTTTCGGGTCGGGCGTTCGGCGTGTGCTGCTCAGGAGTCCGTTGGTCGGCTCAGACATCTTCAGCAAGGCAGGAGCAATGGAAATGGCACGGAGCGGTGCAGAGCCCTGCGAGAGAATCAGACAGTTAACTTCCCACTCTGCAGGCAAATTAAAGATGCAGAATTAAAGTGGGTCAGAAGAGATCAGATAGAGCTTACAAAAGACATTTAGATTTAAATCATCTTAATAATGCAGACTAAAAAACACACTGAAATAACACAGAAACAGGCAGATCAGATGCTGGCACTATTCTATAGGTAAAGAGCATTTGAAATTCACACTGATGTACCTTCTTCCAATGATTTGCATGAATTAGCAAATTTAAAATTAAACCCTTACTTATTAGAACAATTATGTAAATGTTAAAGCAAGGCCCTTAAGGCTTCTTTGAACAAGCTGTATCACTTTAAATACAGCAGATAATCCCATTTTTTGGGGGTGCCGGCTTGTCCAATGTACAAATTTGTTAAGAAAGGTAGCAGTGGTCGCCCCAGCACTGCAGCTCAGTTCTGCACTACCAGCAATAAATTGTTCACAAATAAAAAGCGATGCATGTTTATTCGCTGCTTGCCTCTTTCCACATCTGTGCACGGAGCAGCGAGGAGACGCGGCCCAGCTGACATGCACGGTTTTCCTTTAATTACTGTGCAATTAAAAATCCTTACCTATAATACCTCCCTAAGGAGTCCAGTGGCGGTTTCTGTGGTTGAAACGTGAATAAGACTAAAAGTGGAAAGCCCTGAAAAGGTATCCACTTCTCAGATGATGGATGAGAAATGCGGTGATTCGAGGTAACAGGCAGGGATGTGCTCTGAGAAATGAAATCTAACCATGAGCTCAACTATTCCCAGGGCAACTCATTAATGTGAGGATAAGTAAATATATGGCTTCACCCCAGTGCTTCCCACTCATTTAACTCACTGTTACTAAGTAAAGGTAAACAGTAATGAACACCTAACTTGAATTCACATTTACCTGGAAACATTCTCTCTTTTCATCTGTTGAAAATATCGCATTGTTCTGTATGCTGCTTTGTATCCTCAGTTCCTAGAGCATTGTGGAAGATTACTGTCTTGGTGTGGGAGGGGGGGTTTGTTTGTTTTGTTACATCATAATTTACCTGTTGATGAAAGCTGACACCAGCTGTTGGCTTTATGCACTCTGTTTATATACAAGTTATTTAGATTTTAGTTTACAAAGACTTCTAAAAGAAATTGACTTAATTTAATCCGTCCAGTGTGACACCATGGCTTAAGACACAAGTGGTATCACATTCATTGCTATCGTCAGCAACTGAAAAGATAATTTCCTGTCTGGAGGCTGCAACTCGTGTCAATAAAGGTGTGTATGGAAATTATACCTGGCTATTATTTCTTTGGAAAAGTGTTTTTTATTTAACTGCCAAGCAAGCTCTGTGACATCATAGCCATTGTGTGGTACCATAAGCTAAAGTAAGTTGTACATGCATATAAAAAGGAGATTAAAATACTGTCCATAAAACTTTTGTCCTCAAACGAAGCTGGGATTGACCACCGAAGCTTCTACAAAAATCAGTTTTGCAAAGCACCTTTCCATTGCTGCACTGTGTTATTGTACCTAAATATGTGGAGCTTTGAAGCAAGCAGTAAGCGCAAGGTATGAAAATTGTGGTCATTCTAAATACATGTGAAAGACAGCCCAGTATGTAAAACTTACAATGGTTTGGTCAACCACGTGTGACTGACTCATCCTGCTACTCGTCCCAGTCTGCTGCTTCAGCTCTAATTCTGATGCCTGACACAGTGCAGGGTGGTCCTGACCATGAGCCGCTGTTGGTGAGGTGCTGAGCTGCTGCAGACAGATCTGCCGCCGCTGCTGTTGCCTCACCGTGTCACTGGTCGGCCCGGCTCTGGCTTGCTCAGCTCCCTGCAGCGGCAGGTCCAGCTCGGCCTCCTGTGGTTGCAGTGGTTCTAATCGACAGGGCGCCAAGATCCGCAAGCCATTCTCCACTGCCCGCCCCTGCAGCGGTCTGCCTGAGCTGGGCAACAAAGACTGCTGGAAGTACCTGTGCTGCATCAGGGACTGCGAAGGCAGGTGGATCATCTGAGGTGCTGAAGCCAGAGGGCTTTTGGGCACCCATTGGCCCGGCATTGGCAGCTGAAGGGATGGAGTAGTTTGGTTTGGCAGGGTGAGGCTAAGGGGATAGGGGCTGAGCTCCAGCTGCTTCTTGTCAAGAAGCCATCTCGAGGCCTGCGTTTCCAGACCAACAGCGCCCTGGTGACCGTGGCGCCAGGATTTATCAGGGTAGGGTCGGATCGGGCGGAGCTTTCTGCCTCGTCCCAAGGCGCCGAACTGCTGCGTGGCAGAAGGCCCCCTGCTCTGTCCTGCGAGGAGCTCGCTCTGTAGGTCGGCATGCTGCTTGGGTGCCTGGGAAAAATTCAGGCAGTGCGGACAGCACACGCGGGACTGAAGGCAGGTGGGGAAGCCACAGCTTTGGTCTTGGGGCTGGTGGCACAGGGAGGCTGGCATGGCTGGGCACGTGATTGGCTGAGGCTTCAGAACGCTTGGAGAGGCGCCACCTCCGGTGTGAGGGCTGCTTCCTCCCTCTGTCGTCAGCTCGCCTGAAAAAACACACGAAACGCCAAGAAAGAAAACTATAGGATCCCGCATTATTACTTGATATCCATCCATTTTCTGACCACTTCTTCCAAGTCAGGTTTGTAGGGGAGCCAGAGCCTATCCCAGCCTGCAACGGGATACCAGCCCAACACAGGGCAGGCACTCCGATGCTAACCTCAAGGACCAGTTTTCCCAGAAACCAATTAGCCTACCAGTATGTTTTTGGACTGCAGGAGGAAACCCCTGCGAAGAAGGTTTGGAATTGAACCCAGGACCCCAGTGCCGAGAGACAGCCATGCTACCCACTGCATCACCCTACTATTTGATATACTGGATGAATGCTTATTTGAGGTGACCCTACACTACACTTGATTTTGGTCAAAAGACGCAGAAGCAGCACTGCTACCCTGTCTGGAAAAATGAAGCTCCTGTCATGAAAGCTCAACTCAATTAAAGTTTGAGATGAGATGCCTTTGATTTGCACAGAACCCCAATGTCAAGTACGTACAGCAGATTGAAACAGAATTTACCAGCAGTCAGAAACTGTCATATGTCAAAGCTAATAATGTCCTTTAAGCCAAGCAGCACTAAGGGATGGAGGTGACAGCCAGTTCACTTCACTTTCAGCAATTTATTTCCAAACATCTGGTGTTTAGAAATCCAATAATAATGTGGATAATTAATGTATATTTATTGTTCAGACTCTGAGCAACCTTAACAAGATTAGTGAGCAATGCAATTGACATCTACTGTACCTAAAGTGGAGATCTGCTTGGTCCAGAAACTGGCGTCCCAGTTGAATTTAATCTTAACAGGTGGGCCAATGTCAGAGGGAAGCTGAGATTCAAGCAGGCGTTGCATCTGAAATGTAATCTGAAAACAAGTGGGTCATTCCAACAGTGACAGTGATACAGATTTCCCAAGGACACTCCATTTCATCACTTGGCCTTGAAAAGTGGCTCAGGTACAGTAGCTGTGTTGCCAATGACCTAAACTAGCTATAGGACATACCTTCATACTTGAACAGTACATACTGTTGGCACACAGAAATTAGTACTTTAATGTTTTTAATAATAAATAGAATAGTGTTATAAGGTACCTCTAAGTTATGAATCTAATAGAAATGCAGAATTCCACAGTTTAACAAGAAGAATAAAATAAGATTTTTATTGAGTCTTTTCTATAATTGAATCATCACTCATTCATTGGTAATATCATTATTTATACCACATTTCTTTCCTCTGATTTTATTAGAATATAAGAATGGTTACAAATGAGAGGAGATCATTCTGCCCATCTTGCCTGTTTGGTCAATTATAAGATTGTAAGATTACACAGTGCATTTGTTTGATATGGGGCTCTTCCATATTAATGCAGGCATCCTTGAATTATAGATAATATACAGATGACACAAAATACCAAGCAGAAAACTGAATAGGTACAAACACAGCAAAAAATCTGGCAGCCTGGCTTGGCTCTTCATACTGTACATGTTGAAGGCTATTCATTAGAGCACTGTATAAACTAAAGTTCAAATTGTCCAAAAAAAAACCAATCATCCATAATCATCCAAGAGGAGGAATGGAGAGTGGTTTTTTTTTATCCTTTGTTCCTTTTATGAGACATCAAATATTTATCCAGCAGAATACAGTACTGTTAGAGAGGGCAGGACGACACAGGAGGCTCCCATCTCCCTTGTCAGAACTCAGAAACAAAGTGAGGCTGGGGGCTGGTCAGGATTACGATGGGAGACCTCGAAGTAAAACAAGGTTGCTAATGCAAGGGTGTTAGGTGGAGCTCTCCTTCCAGACCACGTTTTGTAAACCAATACCCAGTATTGATACAATAGTGATAGGGGACATGGTGTTGTAGAAGGCGCTATCATACAGATCAGATGTTAAACCAGGGATCGTGATATGAAAGTATTAAGAAACAGCGATGGTGAACTCCGCTACTTGAGGGCTGGAGTTTTTAATTTTATGCAGGTATCAGCAAACGATTAAGATCTAAACCAGCACAGATTTGACTTTTTAGTCAAATGGGCAGTTCTGTTATGTCTGAAGATGAGGACTGGAAGGAAGACCAGAGGACCTAAGGCCCTCAAGAACTAGAATTCCCTACCCCTGCATTAAACTGAGGACCTGACTGCTTGGTCATTAAAGATCTCATGGCATTGTTCATAAGCGTAGGCAGTCAATCCCAGCCTCCTGGCCAAATTCCACATTGGTTTTTACTCTTTTTGTTCTCCCTAAATTCCCCCCCCTTAACTGAACTAGTAAAGAAATGTCTCCCTTCTCCACCTCATCCGCTGTGTAGTGGGACTGCCCTTCAGTGGTGGATAAAGTGGGTCCCTCATATAAGCAAAGCACTCTGGGGTGAAAGGCTCTATCTAAATGCAAGCAGATATTAATTACTGTCAGTATTATTACCCACCAGTTCTTTGCTGAAGAGCAGAGGACTCCTTCTCTGGTTCACCGTCGCCCAGTTCACAAAGTTCTGCACATGGCTGAGCTGGCTACACAAATCTATCACTCCATTCAGCTGGCTGACAGTTTTCTGCTGTAAATCATTTGTGATCTTCTGTCAACACAGGAACAGAAAAATGACATTCATGTGAACATTTAGGTCAACTGGTCAGCGAAAAGCAGGTGAGGTTAAACTGTGCTTCATGAAATCATACAAAAAATATGTTTTGAAATTGAACTAAACTCTTCATGAACATGTTCAGGGTTCGGAAGGTTCAGAACTTGAGAAGGTATTGTTTAGTGCTGTCGTGAAGGGCTGACTAGTTCATTTGTGATACAGAATATTCAAATTTAGGATTGTGTAGCTTATGAACCTCTACGCAAATTAATGCTTTTAGATTTTTTCGTGGCATAATTACCTCAAGTTGTTCTATTAAATGGCTGGCTCGTTTGTTCAGTTCATTAATCATAATCATCTTTGCCATTTTAATCTGGTTCTCTGTCTTCTTTTGTGCAATCTTTATGCCATGTATCCTGTGCAACACAGAGGTAATGACAATACGATTGTTACAATATTTAACCAAAACACTTAAAATGAAGCTTAAAATGAAGGAATAAAAATTAGATTTTAATAATTTCTTTTCATTTTCGTGTAACAATGTCACTTTCATCTAATCTCTTCTGAACACAGACTTTAAAGAAATTTAAAGTTTCAATTCAGTTTAGTCAATGTTTTAGAAATGAGTATACTATTATTTACATTTTTAAAACTTACTCTGGTTTCAAAATGTGCCCAATTAATTATAATGGAAATGTAAAATGTTTACACTAACAGCTCTGTTTAATTTCCCTTTTTTAAAAATAGAAGAACAAAATTATTTCCTTTGTATTTCTCCACATTTGGAATGCAGCCATGTGCATCATCAGAGCCTTACACCATTTCACACCACAGCAAAATGTAAATCAGTTAAAGGGAGAGGTGGAACTTTCACTGGCAATGAAGACACACAAGAAGCAAAAGCTCTCTGTCGTGAGAGAACCCCTGACCACTCCTGTGTTCACTCAGCTAGCTGCGTGCTCGTCACGGCTCAGACTGTGTCAGGACTGTAGGACTCAATGAGAGCATGTGTGGGTGGAAACAGCCTAGGAGTGCTGCTTTTATACTGTTTGAATCCATTATTTCTGGACAGCTGGGATTCAAACCAGCAATTTATAGAATCCATAGAAGGTATCCTCATCGAAAAAGCCAGATTCCCATTGAAAGCAGCCTTATTCTTTTCAGGTTTTATGAATTGCATAAGTAAGCTAGCTCCTGATCCTGGATATTTTACCCTTTCCTTGTGTAAATGTGTGTACTCAGGCAGATGAGTAGTTTACATTTTGTGAACTACAACGTTTCTGCTTCATCAGAACATATTGCAGACTAGGCAGTGGCATGTAAAACAGTGAAACATGTCTGCAACTAGTGCTTATGTTTTAAAAAAACTTTGGTTTCTCACAGTTTAAAAAAAATAAATGAGAAGATTTCCTTTTCAGTCCATATGCCTTTCCCTTGTAATTCCAATAAAATAAAATATTTTTTTCCATGAACAGAACAAGTAATTAAGTCTTCAAGTCCATTTTTACACATAGGAGGTGCAACACACAAATCACACTTCTTTACCTGGCTTCTATTTGCTTTGCAGAGTTCTCTACAACAGATCGCTTGTCATCCAGTTGTGCCATCAAGCTCTCAAAGAGCCACTGCTGATTATGAAGTGCTTTGCCAACAAGGATTAACCTAAAGAAAGAAATAAGGAGGGAAGCTGCACCAAATATATTTTTTGCACGTCATAACAAAAATAGAATTACAAAATGAGAGATCAACAACAAACAGGTGACCATGTAACAACTTATCTACTGTGGCTGCTAAACCTGGGAATTAACTCGTGACTCCATCAACCCAGTCAGACAAATCCCTGCAGCACCAGATCATTTACCTGTGATCTTTGTGTGCTGAGAAATGGCAGCTTTTGCAGGTGAGCATGTCACATGTTTCACAAAACAAATCCAGCAGCTCCTGATTATGAAAGTGGCAGAACAGGAATCCTTTGGATTGGAAATTAGGACCTTAAAGAAATGAATATTTAAAACTGACTTAATACACAATTAAAATAGAGAGAGAGAGAACCCACGGACTTGTTTTCTACATGGAAAAGGGCAATACATACACCTGAAACATTGCACAGTAAATGAAAAATCCATTTATTAAGAATATAAGTACAGTAAATCTTCACTGTGCCCTCATTAAGATTATTATATCTTGTTATACCCTGCAATTATATCCTGAAACATTTACATGACAACATATTTTAAGTCCACATAAAAATACAGTATACCTGAGCTGCATTTTATTGTAGTCTTTGTCTATGTTCAACTTAATAGAATCTAAACGAGACAGTTTGTATGTATTTATCGTTTTACTGAGTTTAACGTTGTCATTTGTGTATTTCTAGTAAGTATATTATTGTAATTATCCTGTGGATAATTAGCTGTTATAATAAGCAAGGCTCAACAACAAGAAAATTCTGATCTATTATTATAAAACTGGTTGTCAGAACTCTACACCACTTGCAGAAGGTTTTCTTACAATTACTTTTTAGAGGACTTTAGAAAACAGTTTTTGTAATTTAAGGTATTTTATTGCCACAACCCTAACCAGGAACAGGCAGATCTCTGATAAGGGACAGGTGATATCCGTTACAAATATAAAATTAGTAGAATACACAAAGAGGTAGGGGTCATGGTACTTTGGAAACTGAAACCTCAGAAAAAAGATATTTACATAATATATACAGCTAGGAAAATGAGTTATTTAAAGATAAATTTGCCAATTGTCAGTTTTAGCTGACTAGTGGAGGAAAGGGGTATTCATGTGCAGACGAATCGTGCTAGAAAAGATTACTGTAAAACGTTCTGAATCCAGGAGTGGTCTTTACTGTGTGTATGAAACAGACCACAATCTCCACTGCTGAAGTGCCAGGCATCAAGCCTGCAGATTATTCATTGGCCACATCCTGTTGACTTGGTTTCTGTTTTCACTTCTGTTCTTAAAACGATAAGACTGTAAAGTGATACCACTGTGGCAAATTCCTGCAGTACCTCAAATGCACTCAAAGCAGGAACCTGTAGACGGGAAAGGGTGTAGATACTTAAATCAAAGTGTGCAGGCTAGTTTGGTTTGTGCTTATTCACCAGAGGTTCAGATGTAGCGATGAGTCTTTGTGCAGCTTGTTGGATATCATCACTACCACATAATAGGAGAAACTAACCTATTTCCATCAACATGTGTCATTGTTATCAAGGTAACCCAATCAAACCAGGGAAGTTACAGTAATATTCTCTATTTAACGTTTATTGCACATTATTACTGTACATAACGACTGCCAGTCCTTTTGTACAGCCTTATGATATTTCATGATCTTAATTTTGACATGTCAAAAGTCTCCAAGTATAATTTGCCTTAATAAATAAATGTGTGGCAGAATGTTACATGAATCAAAAGGAGAGCAACATTTTTTCAGAACAAGTACAGTAGAGCAGCAGTGTAATATTAAAACTTTCAGCTCTTTGTGGATGCTAAGCATATGAAAGAAACTTACCAGCATGAGAAGGCATCTTCTCTGCTTCGGATATGAAGAGTGAAGTGGTATTTCTGTGCTGGTGTATATCAGTACACCGAAAACATAACCACTTATTGCAGAAAGTGCAGAGGCCCTGAGCTTCTCTCTGTTCTTGACAATCGGTACAGAGCTGCAGAAAATAGTTGAAAAAATTGTGAACAAATACACTGGCCGGTGAAAATGATCTTGCTTCCTTCTGGAATATTGAAGATTTTAAGGTGTTCACCTGCACACATCTGCACACATAACACAACAAGAAATAACTCCCTCCTGTTCTCTAGAATTTATGTTATTCACTCACTTGTCTGACTCTTTTATCCTGAGGTTACAGGTTGGGTAAAGCACCTTATTCAGTTTCATCTTAACCACAATCATCTATTCTGGAGCCCAGAGCTTTACACTCTATCGGCTAAATGTTTGATAAAAAGCAAATGTCTAAATTTGCAACCCATGTAAAAACAATGGTACTCTTTTAGGGTGTACAACTGGGTATGTTAACTGCATTAATTTTTCACATGTCCAAGCTTTTCAAGCAGATGTTAGGTACAAGGTGCCCGTTGTGTGCACACACACAGCTCATGCTCGCTCCACACTCTCTCTGACTGGGCTCGCTGAATCACTGTCCTGGTCTTTTGGATCTATGCTTCTATGAGAATGACTATATTAACAAAAAATAATTTTAGGTTTACAATCTTACATACACTCAATTTAGTGCGCACAAGTTTTTGTCACTGAGGGAAAAAAAATTGCACAACTTGAAATATTTGCACACACAGGCAATTAAAAATTAGAGGGAACACTGGTTAGGTACCAGGACATGGTTAGGTAACAGGTGTTAGGTAACATGTAACAGGACATGCAGTAATTCAGACAGTCCTACAAACCCACTGATCTTGTTTTTGGGGAACAGAGTTGTGAAAATATAACTATGACTATATATAGAAGAAGCAATGTAAGTCCTGATTGAAATAAAATGTGAGTTCTTATGCAACAACAGTTGCAACAACAGGTGTATTTCACAGCATGTGTTAAGGACATATAGATCTGAATTTCTGTTCCCGGCAATGGGTATAAGTGCTTTAACGTTTCTCCAGGGTCGTTGTCCACCACTTATTAATTTTAGTGCTGCTAAGATATATGCTTGTTTAACAAAAAGATGACCTGTTCTGTGGTAGGTGCAATCCTGTTGTTGTCTAAACTGTACTGATATACACCTAGTGTTTACTGTTAGTGTATATACAGTACCTTCAGCACTTTACTGTATATACCTCAACATCTCACTAGCACCTTCACTTCCCCATTTTCTGCATTTCATTTAAAAAGCAAACACCTTTTGGTCTGATAATAGCAGATAAAATAATAAAGCTGTAAGATGCCACTGGACATCAAGCAGCAAGAAACCAGCTTGTGTACAAAGCTAGATCTGCTGATGCAAAATCTGCAATTACTTCCTGCCACAAAGCCACTCTTAGAACCTTAAGAGATGCAATCAGATTGTTAAAGTTCTGTGTAGAAGAATAAGGCTCGGCATCTGTTGAATTTGTGAGACGACTGTGAAAACATGTCTAAATCAACCTTTGGAGCCTATGACATGCTAGATCACATTTGTAATAAATGCAAATTTGTATGCTAATTGCTAACTGATCCTGTTGATTTAGATGTCGTATTATCTCAGTGGAACTGTCTAATACTGAGCAATTAAAAATAACAATTGAAAAGAGGTTTGTGATTTTTACACTGTCAATACTGTAAATATCTATCAGGAAACAAAACATTATCTGTAGGTCTTGAAAAAGTACTGCTGATATTAAGTACATTAATTTTACAACGAAGAGTTTACTGACATACAGAATTAATATGACTTCCAAGAAAACTATTGCCCATAATTATTCAGGGCAGAACACAACAAAGAATTTTTGTGTAAGTTGCAAATCTAATTGTCATACTCCATTATACTGTCCAAATACCGCTTGTAATCACCTCTGCTTGTTTCTTTGCAGTCCACACACTGATGCCACTCACCTCTCAAGCCTCTATACTGTCTTAAAAGAAAACATGTAAAAACAATTTAATTTACAGGAGAGTTAGACTTACTGGATGAATGCAACTCTCCTGTACCTGTAGTCTGTGCTACTTTTGAATACTGGAAGAACACAGCTACTACTGGTAGTACAGCAATTTATAAATAAAACAGCCTCTTTCAAATAAAACATTAAATTGGACACCTGAACATTAACTAGTATGTTTGAAGACATCCTTACCTTGTCCATGTCGATACTTTTGCCCAGAAAGTCTTTCAAGATCTGGAAAAGTTCATATCTTACAGGGTGTCCCCTACTGTGGGATGGGAAATGCAGCAGAGCTAGTGGCAAAACATATGGGTTGACCTGTAGCAGAGACAGAATCATCAGAATAATAAATAAGTGCTTTATCTTTTATGGAGTTAAGCAGACTTTGACCTTACTAAGAATTTCAGATGCAAATATTAGGGTCTACTATAACCTATGAAATCTATCTGTTTAAAAAGAAGCCCCTTCATTCTAATTTGGAGCTAGAAACAAAAGATAATTAATTTTTTTCTAGGACAATAGATCCCCTAAAGCCTTTCCAGAAATGGAAGCAAAGGCCAAATGAACTATATTTAAACGTTCGGAAGCAACGAAGGCGTGCACAAGACTGTACGAGCCTCATGCAGAAAGGAACAGGCCCCTTCAGATACACTCACACTGGAGAATGTCAGCAGGGTCAGGGAGTGAGCGGGCTTTGTTAATATTAAGATCCAGTGATCCAGTTATTCATGATTTTAAAAAACATGCAAATGTTTCAAAATGAGGAAAGGTGCATAAATACTGCCCAGATAAAAAGCTCTCAAGCACAAGAAAAAGAGAAATCAGAACTAAAGCCACAAAACCTGCTCCAGTCTGACATTAGGCTTGATATAGAAATGATAATGATACTTGTTAATCTGCCTCCTAATCCTGATTAAATAAAAATGATAACTAGACTAATAAAAATGATGATTGCTAATCTGCCTCCGTATACTGCAGGCAGATTAACAACAGCAATGTCATTTTCCAAAGTACAAACAAAACCAAAGAAAAAAATGTCTACATCCCAACAACTAACTAGATAAGTGTTCCACATTTTTTTATGATTGGCTTCTTCACTTACCTTAATTCCAGGGCCTCTGCTGAGTAACTTTAAAAATAAATTGTTGCCTGTTACTGTTAAAGAAATGGCACTTTCTATAGCACGGCGTACTCGTACAGTATGTGGCATACATTAGGAACACCACTCCAGAGATTTCACTGTAATAAATAAGTAGCATGTAGTTTGCTCCCTTGAAATGGCACCCTTGTAACATCAAATAACAGCTCTCTAAGAGTTTCAAAAGCATTATTATAATGCTTCAGTTAATGTGCACAAAATAACTAATTATTTTATTAATATAAGCTGTTGTCATTGAAAAGCATTACAGAACATCCTTCTACTTTCTCCAAAATGAATCTAGGCAATACAAAATTCAATGCACAGGAACCAGGATAGCACAAGAAACAAATAAACCATTTTAAACAGCAGTCTACTCACATCACTCAAGCTCCAGTCATAGACCTTCAAAAGCACCACCCCATCTGAAACTCAGTTCATTTTTTGAGAAACTAAAATTGTCTTCTGGCTATCACTGCAAAGAAAGATCATTTTCTTCTAGGCGCGTTCTATTTGATTGTGGTTTCAATAGAAAACACATGACTGCAGCAGAGGACACTGTAAAATGCTTTACGTTTAAAGAGGGATTGGGGCTGTGAAGCAGCCAGCTGAGAAACTCAGCTTTCAGTTTCCTGTGAGAATGCAAATTAGTCAGAAGCCACTCTGGCTGCTCTATAAATAATTGCGAGCTGATGTAGCCCCTGTACAGATGTCATCTCCTGCCTTTGCCAGGTTTACTTTCATCGTGCCACTCCTTAGCACGTGCTGTACAACTGTCCGTTATTCAAGGGAGCCTCAGACTTTCTCTCTGTAATGGCCAAGAGATAAATGTAACTTGTCACCCTTTTCTGAAGTAAAATCTGATCAGAATCCTCTCAGGTCTAACCTGTATCTGCTTTAACCTAACAGCCCACCAACGGCACGTTGTGTATGGGTGACCTTTAACTGGAAACGTTTAGAGATAAACTAATGTTTTACGAAACTGAGTCTACTTTGCAGAACACTGTACTGTAGCTTGAAAAGAAAATTATACAGATACACCAAATACATAGCCCTTGCATGGGACTGGCTTGATTTCTGTAGATATTTTTGTAATTCAGTTCATTTCAGATTTTACTACCTGGATCATCAGCACCATGTGGTGGACATTTCAGGTTTGGTACCTTATTTTGGATACATTTGCATAGTCAGACCTGTGGCGTGGAATATGTTGTGTATTTCAGCATAGCTTCAGCAAAAGCCTGCACCATAAAACACTCTATCACAACACCTGAAATTCTGTGCATGATTACATTGCTGTTTACCTTAATTTTTATGCTGCTTTGGTTTAAGATATAACTGAGAGGACAGTGTTACATTGTATTGTAATAATACACCTCCATATTGTAATGATATACACCCATCTGTTAGTGCAGGTAGAAGCGATGTTTCATAGGCGGGTGTCGAGGAGAATGTGACAAGTTCTGAGACCTACTGTATGAATCTGGCAGCAGATGTGACAATATGATCAAACCTAACGAGTGTTTTTTTTTTTCATGATGCTTAAAAATAACAATTACTGCAGAGGAGCTAAGATGTTATACAACAATGCTTGAATTATAGTAGTTCTTTGCATAAGCTTTCACTAAGGACAGCCCGCAATTAAAATCCGTTTTCAAATCAATGTTGGTAAGGAAAATCGTATCATAAAACTATGTGAGCGTCAAAGCTCAGCAAAATATGGTTCAGATTTTCTTAGCATAACTTCATTCTTGAAGACAACGTACTATGTAACTCATCTTTAGCGCCGTTTAGCACTAGTCTTCTGTGTGAATAATATTATGTAAAATAAGATTTTCATCTCAAAACTCCTTTTTTCTTCTGTAGTCTATCCTTTTTCTGGGTCATACCTACACTCGTTATAAACCAATGACCCCATGAGGCGCGTTCTAATTAAGCTGCTAAGAAAATGATGTAACATTAACTCAACCAAACCCTCGACTTTTTGAGTTACATAACCATTATCCTGGTTGTGCAATATTCTTCACCGCTTTTCTACAGAAATATTTTCAAGCGCATTTTTTTATTTCTCGGTGAATTATTACTTCATGGTGTAAAACGGTGTGTTATTGATCTCCCGACCCTTGATATGCAAGTTACGCAATTTAAAATCTTGAAACCTAATTTTGAATGAAAGAAAATCAACTTTTGAAAAATGTCTTGTCCAAGTCTATACTTTTATTTGAAAAATACGTTTTCACGTTCTCTCTTCACAACTTTTACTTTTTATAATTTAAATCGCAATAATTAGTTATCTGAAATGTGTAAATAGTGCTGAGAATTTTTATATTAAATAATAATTAAATTAAATACAAAACCTCCCCACATTTAACATTAACATTTAGCTAACGCATTTTTTTATTTAAACAAAAATACTATGATGTGCAAATATTTGCTCAATAAACCGAACAGTTACAGTATAGTCATGCACCTAGCCGAAGGCAGAACTGTTTCACACTGCACAAAGCCTCCCAAGTCTGCCTTTTGCGTCCCTCATTCACTTTGCTCTCCGCTCCAGCAGGTGTCGCTGTAACTTGCGACGCCCGACAGTTTTGAGCCACAAAATCTCGCATATAGTCGCGAGAGTTGCAATTCTCTCTCCTCTTTGCGTCACCCTCCAAGATGGTAGGTTACATGTACGCCTTGGTCCGCTGGAAGTGTTGAATTAAATCACAAACCATCCCGTCTTTTAGGTTCAAATGATGTTAGACTGACTAAGATATGTTACATAAAAGAGGTTTATTGGCATTGCTTAAACCGAATTGGGGGAAAAATATCTTGCCATCAAACATAAGATGACTTCTCCTTTGGCTATAGTCGTGTCCCAAAATGTCTTAGGGCCTTCTATGGAAGGTGGCATTTAGCGGATGCGGCTCAGTTGAGTGTTTGAATTAAACTAACGATTATTACTGGAATGTTTTCGATCTCCGTCAGGCTATTGGATGTGTGCTGCAGAAGCGGACGGAGTGTCTTGTTTTGAGCCGTGTGTGTCTAGGTAGTTGTCGGGGTGTCTTCTGAAGGGCTCGGGCAGTATCGAGCAGGAGGCTCTGATGGGCTCCGAGACTGTCGGCCCGTCTTGCAGTAGCTGTGCGCCGGGAACATTTTTACAGTTTCCGTCCTACTTGCTAGATTCGCATACCGGCGGTTTCTGCGGGGCCTGGTAAAAGGCCCCCTGGTGTAAGATGGGCTGTTATTGATGTAAAAAATCTGGACTCTTACATTGAATACGAGGTCGCTCTGCGGCTCCTAGTGCGGTGTCGTTCACTAGTCCGGCCGTGTGCGGTTGATGCATCATGCCGTTGAATCGCTCATCAAGCTCGGAAGCCGCTGTTATGTTCTTATACTGGTGATCAGGTTCAGGATGTGATGCGTTCTCTCCTTCGGGTAGTCACAGCGTTAGTAAAAGGTGCTAGTTTCTTCCCCGATTGAAAACATGTTAACTTCCATCTGCAGCCGACCAGAACTAGGAAGACCAGAAAGCTCCGAGGGCACGTCAGCCACGGCCACGGCCGTATCGGTGAGTGAACTGTCTGAAGGGCTGCCCTGGGCTTGCCGGGTCGTACATAGGGAGATGTCCGGATTGATTGGCCTCTGTGTTGCTGATCGTGGTGTGTTCTTGTCTGGGACAGGCAAGCACAGAAAGCATCCTGGAGGTCGTGGTAATGCTGGTGGTATGCATCACCACAGAATCAACTTCGACAAATAGTAAGTAAACGCCACTGAAACTTGTTCATAAACTCCTGAAATGAGTTGAGGTAGTCTAAAATCAGTATTAATCATGGCCTATGGAATTACAGCTCATTGTCTAACAGTGTGCACAGTTAGCTGTTATATTAGAATACACTAGATGTATTCTATACATGTACTAGAATACATTTATACTATATACATGTACTAGAATAAATGAGACACAATGAATTTGTAAGCAAATATTATTTGCAGGTTAACTGTTGAGATGTTTTCCTGTAGCTTCTGCTTCATGTGCTATAGTTATGGTACATAGTATGTGGGTCATCTGAAGTTTTTCATCAGTTGAGAAATACTTTAACTTGGAATAGTTCGTGCTGTTGCCTACTCAGCTAAAGAATTATATTATCCTTTTGTCAGGACAGACGAGTCCTTTTGGTAGAACATGACAAGTAACCTGAGTTTCAGACTGCTAAGCCATGTCAAAAGACATTAATGGCAATGAGATGGACGCTGGCCAGTTTTCCCTGTTCGCTAGATGTGAAGTGTGTTCCACTAAACTGAACCTTGACCACCTCCAAGGTGTACATTCTGTACACCCTTTATCTGAATATTTTTTAGGCTCAACGGTTTTATACATTGAACTCTTCATTGTAGCTAAATATTTTTTTGTGGGGGTATATCTCTCAATCTCTCAAAATGTATAAAACTGAATAATTGCATGTGTCCGAGAAGACAATCCTATTTAACTTTTAGCATGTATACATTCAACAGATATGCTGAAAAACATGTTGGGACTTGTAATTTCTGCTGGTCTATGAATATTATATAAAAAACCTTTGGAGTTGTTTTTCTATCAAAGGAAGAACTTGTACAGCATTAGCAGTTCCTTTTTTGCACTAAAACAAAGTATAGCCTTAAAGGTTCAAGTGAAATTCAGCATTAGTCCTGATTTGCACACGTGCAACATTGATCTAGTTGGCTCTGTGGGAAAACTAGCTGGATGCCTCTTAAGAGCATTGCACATCAGTGAGTGATCACTGCCCTAGTCACGGTGGCTGTCATTCCTTACAGCTTCCTGTAATACTGCACTCTACTGCATAAACTTCAAGAAATTCTTCTTTCATTTCAGCCACCCAGGCTACTTTGGTAAGGTGGGTATGAGACATTACCATCTGAAAAGAAACACCATGTTCTGTCCAACTATCAACTTGGACAAGCTCTGGACATTGGTCAGTGAGCAGACCAGACTCAACTATGCCAAGAAGCCAGAAGGTCCTGCGCCCATCATAGATGTTGTCCGCGCTGTGAGTACATTTTCTGTTCAAGTTTAACATCAGTTTTTAATAATAGGCTGATTTTTTTTCAGTTTGTATCAAAATAATGGACAATTTAGCAGTCTAGTGACTCGAACTCTTTAGATAGGGATTTGTGAATTACTTCTACGGTGTAGTTAAACAGTCCACACTGACAATGTTGACTTTTGCCTGAGCTAGACTGCAAGAGCTTGAAAGGAGTTGTAAAGACATTTTATTTACAACTGTAACTGGTCTTGGATATGTGGAATTGTAATCATCTGTGTGGATGCTGTTAGCACAGAAGTAATAAACTATAATCCTGGTTGCTGCACAGCAGTATTAAGTAAAATCCAAAAGCTGGGATATATAACTTGAGTCCCTGCAGTTATTTTAATGTAGGCAAACTTTTTGTTTTATGTGCATTCATGTTACACCCCCTCTTGAGACGTTTTTTTTTTACTGTACCATCACATTTTCAGGATACTAATATTTAAAATTTGCCATTTACTATCATGATACAGTAATCACTGAGTAAAATTTGCACCCACGATTTATTAACAATTATGGATTGCTTTCTTGCTATTATTATAAAAACATGCCTTTTCTTTTGTGGGATAAATACTTCCCTTAATGGCAAAAATCTATTATGAAGCTCTTATAAGCTTACTGTAAAACAAATTTAATAATAGGCCTCCCTTTTAGCTGTTTAAGGTTCATGCAGCATAGCCTTTTGTCATTCTGTGTTTAACAAGATGTAAAATGCATGAGTACTTCAGCTCCATGTTTTGTGGTTAAATATAGCTTTTTATCATTTTACTTGTCACTCCACTGATAAAGCCACTGATTATATATCTTTTTTTTTAGACCATGCTTTAAAATTTGAATTGGGCTTCTTAATGATTGTGCTACAAATTGTTAAAATTGAGTGCACAAGAATCACCTGTAAAAGGCAGAACTGCACTGAACAAAATATTTTCAATCAATGGTGTCAGGACTGTGCAGAACCAAAGATGTAAATGTATAAGTTTTACAACTGCTTTCCCAGACCCCAGGAATAAATCATGTGCTGGTGCTATTTTAACCAGCCCTGCAGCAGGTATATTTAATACATTTCACTACTAACCAAGTACTTTCAGAAAAAAGATATTAGTGCAGGACTTTTGCAATACTTTCAGACTTTGAACAAAGACCAGTGATTGTCCCTCTGTGACAATGGACACTTGTTAGACTGAGCTGTTCGTATCTTCACTGTGATGAACACTTTATTTCTTGCTTTGCTTGCACCGACTGTTGCTGCTGTTAAAAATCCAAAATACAACTATTATCCATATCCATCCAATACATTGTCTATGATTCGTTGGGTCTATTCTTTCAAACTCCTGCATCAGACCTGTTAATGGCATAGTGGCATTTTCAAGTGCACCTCAAAGGAAGTACATTTACCTGAAGTATTGGGTGGGGGGTAACTTGTCGGCTAGTGGTAATAGGTACTAATTGCTTCAAGTACCAAGACTAGGATTTAGTCCTGCAGTTGTTATAGTTAACTACTGGTCTTGGAAAATGATTACTGGTCTCATTTAATATCGGATGCAGAAGTTGACTTTTCTGTATACCCTGAGGTGGCCACCCTAGCCCCTGGAGAGCCACAGTTCAGCAGGTCTTAAGTCACCATTAAATTATCAACAAATAATGGTTTGGAACGTGGGGTTTTATCGATTTAAGTGTGTGAATTGGTTCGTTTAAGAGTGGCTACCTGTGGTTCTTGAGAGCTACAGAACATGTGCAAGTCATTTGCTTAAATTGCCTTCATATGTGGTAAAAATGATTGTTTCAGGTGTTTAGAAATTGTGATTTAAATGTCATTACCTATTTTACAGATTTACTAGATTTGTAATGACATAATGGTGGAATTGTCTAGTGTTAGGTCTGCTGTCTAATATAACGGTATCAAAGGATTTTCAAGTGTTTTAAAGGAACAATACATACTTAATTCAGTGATACACATTGTATCATATACTCATTTGCTGATCGAGTTAGCAAAAAACTTGTTTATAGCTACTGTCACAAGTGATGTAAACCATTTTCTGCATGAAATGATCACTGGCCAAATTTGATAAATATATGATCGTATGTTCTGGCAGTTACTGACGCTTTTTACAAATGCAAACAAGTATTGCTGAAACGTAATTTCAAAAACGGTGTGTGATTTCCGGTTTTCTCCAATAAACAGCTCCAAAGTAAAATCTTTATAGAGAGAAACTAAAAGTTGACCGCGTTATTGTATATTTTTTTTAATGGCGGTTTATTTATTTTTTTGTCAGGGCTACTTCAAAGTGTTGGGCAAAGGCAAACTCCCTAAGCAACCTGTCATTGTGAAGGCCAAGTTCTTTAGCAGAAAGGCTGAAGAAAAAATCAAGGGAGCAGGTGGAGCTTGTGTACTGATGGCATAAGTGCTTTTTACCATCTTTTGCAAGAATAAAATGTTCTGTAAAAGTTGTCTGTGTCCTTTCTTTTTTTTAAATTTAGAGCTAAGCACAAGGGTTGAGGATGTTGAAGTGGTTTGGCATTTGTTAGACTCAAGTGTTCACTTTTATCTCAGTGCTATATCATATTTTCTCCTTCAAACACCATCTGGAATTTGATATAATTTTTGAAAAAGCAGGGTATTTTATAACTTAATTATTCATAAGTGGTCAGCAGGTTTCATATTGTCCGCACTGTAGACCAGTGAGTGCATCAAACAACTAATACTGAGCTACAATACAATTATTCTTACACATACTTTATTTTCTGTAAATTTTACATATTTGACAGTTACCAGTTGTAAAATTGATCAGACATGAGACAAATAGCAGATAATTTTCTTCATATGTTTTAAGTAGTGCATTACATGTACAAAACGGTTTACTGACTGATAGCTATTGAAATTACAGGGGGATTTCTGACTTGCAGAGTACCTCGTTTGTGATGAGGAAAGCTTCTCAAACTAATAAAGCAATAATATAGCATGTAGGCTTGCGCTCATTTGTTTCATTTTCACTGAACAGACTGGATTCTCCTCAAGCATTCTGTTAAATCAGTGGTTATTCTGCAACAGTCAAATGCACATTTAATTGTACCATCCATGCATACACTACCAACTCATCCTATTATAACGAGCACCTGTTTTATTCGGTCATATACAAAATAATTACCACAGGCCTAAGTAAAATCATTTAAAATAGTATGGCAGCCAGCTTACAGTGAACTATTTACATAATGTCTTGCAGCTTGAAAACTTTGCTGTACAAGAAATTGATTTTTGAATAAATTTAAGTTTTCAAATGTGCACGCTTTGCAATAGACGTTTGTACAAGGCTCCTTGGTCTTGACATTTGGTTCAAAAGTACAGTAGAATGTGGCTTCTTTAGTTCTTCTTGTGAAGGAACTTCATTTTACTTCCTGAAAAATAAAATGCATTGGAGTCATCTTAAAATATGCACGAGGAGAATGACACTAAGCAGACTGTAAGTTTAAATTATTGATTTGACCTCCTGTAAATAAAATCTTGAGTGTCATTCAGGACTATTCTGAAGATTAATATTTATAGGAAATCTTTGTATATTGTATCAGCTTTCTTGATATTTAGAATGAGATGTATTGAGTTAAATTTGTATCCTTGTATTCTAATAGAACTTGAAAGCTGGAATACGTTTTGCATAAATATTTCCATCACTGTGTTCTGTCCTTGAGAACAGCTTGGCATATGTGACCCTTACTACCACAACAGCTTCCTGTGACGCTGCTCTGTTTTCGTCTTTCCATCTAAAGCAGCCATAATACTGAGAAAGTGCTGCTAGATGCATGTCCCTATAGTGCAATAATACTCACCAAGTCCTTTCAGAAATTTATTCACACCACTCTGCTCAGTGTCGGGCAGCTCTTCTAAATACTGCTCTACCCTCTGTTCAAAGAGACCTGGTAGGGAAATAAAAAATCGGTCTTCACAATAACATCTGCATACATGCAATTCACATTTCTTGGTAAAGCAGGGCTAATACTTTTTACTGCATTGTTCATTTTCACATGCAGTGTTCACTGGTTAATACAAGTGTCAGTTTTTTTATAAAAGCGTATTAACATCTAGAAGCTCTTACTATACGTTTCACATATTCAGTCTGCTTGATATACTACCGTGCTCATGAGCACGCCAGCAGTGTCTTATCCAAAATTTGTACAGAACCCTAATTGCTGCCTGGTTCTGCTATAGAGTTGTAAAGTGTCAACAGAAAAGAGTTCAGTGGTCCTCAAAAGAAATGTAAATCTGTGATTAATGATAGACTATTAGTTAATTTATGCCATAGTTAAGTGTTTAATTCGCCCTTAGAAAACGGGCCTTCAGGGTTGATTGAATAAGATGCTTTTTAGTTTCAGAACATGGTCATCCTAAAACAGCAATCTTGCATGGCTTTTCGTGTGGGCTATTCATCATGAACAACTGGAGTAACAAAGACTGCAGAAGACAGCAATGGCAGTTGACAAATGTGGAAGTAAATTGTTGATGGTAATAAAAGCCTTGAGCACTGAAATTCTGCACATACACAAAAGCACAATGGCCTATAGTCTTTAAGAACAAAATCATATTCCATCAGTTAAATGTAAAAATGTGCATTAAACGTGTATTTCTTTTTCAGAGTACTTGTTTTATAGAGGTGGAATGAAATATGGTTAAAAAAGAAACCACATGTTCAAAACTGCCATTTTCCACCAATGATGCACAAACAGCTGAATCCTATTAAAATGTTCTCTACCACTCAATATTGGAAGATTAAAAAAATATGTGGTGAAGGTTTTTTTTTTTAATCTGATGGGTATATATTTAATGTCACCGAATAACAAAAAATGTTGGTTTTAATATTGTTAATGAAACAGTGCTAACTCCCTAATATTCTGCCATAAACCTTCACATAGGAACCACTACTCTAAAACACTGCTGTCAGTAAAGCTGATAGTGTTCCAATATACCATAAGGGGGCACTAAAATCCTTTTTAAGAGAAATATTTTTGCGACCCCAGTAGACAGAGAAAGTGGTGGAAAAGGAAATCAAACCAAGAAACTAGCAAGGTTTGTCATTATCAATAACATCTTCTACCCTGGTATTTTCCAGATCGACAAACTACCTTTGAGGGAAAAAAACAACAACATGGCAACTACTATATGACAAGGTGTAATTTCTTACTATGTTTTTATACAAATTAGTCGCTCCTGGGATTTCATGGTGCTTTTCCATCCCAAAGTGAGCTGTGTACAGGAGGGGAACCTTGTTTTTTTTTGCAAAAACCTTTCTACACCAACACACAGCAGATCAAGAAGAGAAATGAGAAACGGCTTCAGCACATAAATTAAAACAAGGATTTTAGGAATGCCTCTGTAATTAACACCTCTTCTCTTATGAACAGCGCCAGGTAGGTTTTTAATAACAAATAAGCAGGAGTCTCAGTTTACCATGTCATCATACTGAAGGCACCTCCTGCAGTGATAGGAGCTACTGTACCTTTGGCCCTGCATTTCCTCAGCTCCCGGTCCTGGATGAACCCAGCAAACATCTGGGACTCCATGAACACTCCCAGGAAGCGACGGATACTCTTGGAAGCCACAGACTTCCGGAAGGCCTCCCTCTGAAACACCCGCTCCCCTCTCTCGTTCTGGGTGAGGAAGAGGGAATAGTGTCCAATGGTCTCCAGGAAGAAGCGGATGAAGGCCTCCGACACCACACTGTTCAAGGTGTTGCTTTCTAAGATTTAAAGAGAACGTAAAAGAATTGAGGCCGGTGCAGTGGTTAGCACTGGGGTGCCGTCTCTGGGGAGTTTGTATGTTCTCCCTGTATTTGCATGGGGTTCCTCTCACAGACCAAAGATATATCGACTGGCAGGTTAATTAACTCCAGGAAAACCTGGCCCTGGTTCGAGTGTGTGCGTGTCTGTGTGCCCTGCGATGGACTAGTGTCCTGTCAAGGGTGTATCCTGCCTTCACCCATTGCTTGCTGGGATAGGCTCTGCCTCCAAATTTGTCCCTGTACTGATCAATCAGATAGAAAATGGGTGGATAACGGAGATTATTTTCATGTATTGCACTCAGAAACAGAAATATACACAGAAATCTAGCACTTCAGAAAGAAGGCATAATTAAAGTGCAACTGTTATTCTTAGTCTTATTAAATGGCTCTGTATCATGTGGCTCTGGTTAAAAGTTAAAAGTTAAAAGAGAAGGGGACTGAGCAAATCTATTTTCCTGTAGAGAAAAAGGCAGAGGAACGTTTTCACTTTTCCTGCCAACACAACGATGTGAGCATAGCAGAAATACTTGCTGTCAGGCTCATCATTCTCTGCCAGGAATTATCCATTCTTTTTTGTGTGAATTATTCTATTGTGGAAGCTGAAGTTTATTGTTCCTTCTTAGAAAACAATTGTTCCGAACAACACAAAACCAAAGCTGGATTAGGAAAGATCTGTCTTAAAAGGTATCGGGTTTATTTCCTTATGAACCTTTTACCACAATTTGGTTTCCAATCTGATGCACTTCAACTGAATTTCATGATAAATTGAGCTAACATATCTAATTTCAATAATCTTAATATTTAGGAAACTGGATATCAAATCTTACTTGTGATTTTCATTCACATTTCCCTATTCTGAAGTGTCCCACAAACATTCAGTGTTATAAGGCTCTAATGCCTTTAAATACTTCAATACTTACACAGTGTACCCTTACTGGAAATCCTTGTGTGTGCATATGTCCTACAATACATAACAATGTGTATCACAGTATAGCCTTGCACAAAATGTTTTGCAGTGTTGCTATTTTAGTAAGGGCAGTACAGTATCCTGGGATAACAATGACATTTTCTGATAGTTATGACGTGTGTCTTTACCTTCGTCTGATTCGCTGTCTGAGTCCTGACTGATTAGGTCATTTCTCTGTTCCAGTGCTTGCTCCAGAGCAGCCTGTAGTTTCCGTGGCAACAATGTGGCCTCATCATCCATCTAAAGAGCAGAATGAAAATCATAATCAGTAACAAATGTGGATAAAAGGCTCCAAAACCAAACATTTTGTGCAGTTCAAGTTACTTGTTCATAATAGAAAGTTTTTGTTTTCTAGAAAGTCTAGAAAACAAGTTAAGAAGATGATGAGGATTTGAAAATACAACTTCTAAACGAAAGGGAATTTTCATTAACTTTCCACAGGGTTCTTTGGAAAAGAAGATATTATTCTCTAACATTCATCTTACAAATTCTAAAATAAACGAAGGGCCACTTGAGCAGTGTTAACATCTCAAAGAGGCAATACTGAGACCTCTGGCTTTATTACCACACTAACACAGTGTTAGCTTCCTGCCACAGAGTCAGCCATGGACTGTGAAATTGTAGGGTTGTTTCTGGATTGGGTACAAGCCAGGCTGGCATCCTATTAATCAAAATGACATGAGCGCCTGGAATTGACAGAGAACAATAGTCTTGTGGCTCTGTTTGTGATTCACTGAAGGCCACATGGAGTGGAGGACTATGTCTGCTTGTTGCAAACATGTGGGAAGCATCGTGTGATGTGCTAAAGCAGCACAGTGGTGTTTGTGAGGTTTATAGCAGAAACTGTTTGACTGTGCCGTTAAGCCATGGGTGGACATTTAATTCTGGGAATTCCTGTAAGAAGTCACTAAACGGGGGTGGAATTTGTGCAAACGAGGTCTTAAAATATGAATACGAGATGTATGAAGGCTGACGGTAATTGCAAAGATCTTTGCAGAGCACATCGTAATCAGGGAGATGTAATGTCAGCAAGAAGGGGACTATGTCTTTAGCAGCAAGAGGACAGGGAAAGAAACTGTATTGTGTCCCGACCGCCATCTTTCAATTATGTTAAGGTTGATGCTTACCTGTCGAATGAAACGATCTGTTCCCAAGTCCACCATTAAAGCCTAAATTACAGAAAGGGGAGAAAAAAATGGTTACCAAAATGTTTCTGGAATACCCAACAGGCAAGCCCCCAGGCTAAACACCCCGTGTAATAATCTGTCAATTGTACCGGGCCTGATGCCGAGTGACAAGCTAACCATAATTCAGACTTTAAGAAAAGCATCAGGGGTCAGCACATGTAAAAATCAATTGTTCGTTCCATAATTTTTCCATTACGTTCGGTCAGCCAGCCTCTATTTCATTGCTTCTGAAGCAACAGACATCTGGTTATATCATTTTTGTGTTGTGCACATGCAAGGGCAGATCCAAACATACTACACAAGGTCACCAACAGCCAGGCTCTGTGTATAAACACGACTGGCGGCTTCTCCTCCCCAGCAATCTGGTGCCAAACCCACAAGGGCAAGACCCAACTACTGAGACTGCACTGGAACCAGATGAGCTGCAGCTGGGGCTGCCGGGCCGTGTGAGGAAAGCAGGCCATGTGCTCCAGTAGCATGTGATTCTTCCTTAATGATTTGTTTTCCAGTTTTAGTATGAATACATCCATTTAGTATTAAATCAGAAAACATGAACATATTTTTTAGAAAGCATGTTCTGCAATGAATGCTAACCTTCCAGTGTGTTTAAATGAAAGTACATCAATCTGAGTAATTTCAGCTGGAACCATTACCAGCTCTACTTAATAAAAAAGTTGAAAGCTGCTCTCTGCTCATCTTTTATAGTTGTGACCCAGGGAAAAAATGATCCAATAGAATTGCTTATTCTGCTGTGTAAAATAAATAGCATCCTGATAATGGACACTTGAGAACACTTTGATAACAAAAATGAACATATTGTGAATTCTCTCAGGTGAATACAATTATTTGGCATATAGTTCATAACATTATTACCTCGGTAACAGTTCTTAAACATTTTATTTCACAGAACGTACTTAATGGCAGCTGTATGTAGTGTATATTTATGATAAAGAGCTGATGTCACCTTAATCACAGCCTCTAACAAGATCACATCAGTTTTTCAGTAGTTAAATGTTGCAGCGCTCTTTAAGTCCCTTCTCCACCAAGTTAAAAGCACAAAAACAAAGCCTCCAGAAGATATCAGTAGAAGAATTCTTCCTCTGATCCGCAGATTGTTTATTAGACCAAGAAATCAAACATTCGATGCCCCCAAAGGGCATTTGTTGCTGTAGCAAAATTAATTTCCGCAATGAAAACCTTTGTAGCTATCTTGACAGGATGCCAGATTGGAGTTTTTGGATGCTGTGCAAGCTTTCAAATGGGTCAGTTTCCTTGTTGCTAAACTAGGTCCCCAAGGCAATGGCTCTAATTAGCATCTCGTGAGTTTTCTCCCAGGTTTTCTTATGATTTGGATGCCTCAAGATTTGCTCAGCCTACCAAGACTGTCGGCACTTCAAGCTAATATGCAAAAGATAAAAATGACCCCAGTTACGTCCTAAACATACAAAATGAGACAGGACAACTGGCTCATGACTCTGTTGTGAGACGTGGAAAATCCAACAAGATCTTTGTTGGACACTGAACAAAGGCCTCCAAAGGTTAATAGATCAAACATTTCAAGAGAGACTGTAACACAGCATTTTCAACCCCTGTCATATCTGTGAATAAAAACAATACACTGTACTCCACAATGATACACCAAAAGCCACACAGGCCCAACCTTCTTTTTGAAAAGCCAAGTACTAAATTCAGACACGTCAACAAATATATTTTAAAACAAACCTCCCACGGGCCATTGGGTATAAATTTAGATGCTAATTTAGCTTCTTCTAAATCTTGTTTCTATATAGAATATATTTACACATATATAGAAGTATTTGTACCTGATTTGTAAATTAATTTAATTAAAGTACTTTTCTAAATATCTTTAATTGTCAGAAATAATGAATCCATTACACTAGGCTAACTGTACAGCTTTGTGATGAAGCTTAGAGCTGTAAAATAGGTATTTCACCAGCACTTGAACGTAGTGTCTTTGTGACTGGGAGGAAGCGTCTCACCTCCTCCACAGGAAGTTCCTTCAGCTTGGGGAGGGATGTGGACAGCAGGCCCACCAGGAAGGGGGTTGGGCAGCAGACGATGTCCACCATGGAGGCAGGCAGGACGGGGATGAAGGTGTGCTGCCAGGAGAAGGGGTAGAGCAGGGCCACCACTGCATGCACACAGCTGGACAGGGTGCTGCAGAGAAAGCCCAGCGACACAAGGTCAGTCAGACAGCGCCGATCAGATGAGAAGCGCAACTGTGCATTACTGCTTGGCCTTCCATATAACCCTCAACGTTTCCCTGTCCCAGCCAGAGGCAGACCTTGGGCTGGTGGAAAGGACACTTTCACGTCTGCTTCAGACCCATCGAACACTGCCAAGGGGAAGGCAAGCTTCAGTGTGTGGCAAGAGCAATCACTTGGGCCGAGTTCCAAAGTCCCTTCATTGCTTTTCACTACGTTTTGCAAATCTTCGTAAAGAGAACACAATGGGTGTTCTGCAGATAAGAATGTTATGCGTTCACTGACTGCATGTTAAATATGCTGTAAATGTGATTGGGTGTGAACAGAGTCTTTACTTGATTGCATATTATACATCACATAGCCTAGGTGATGCAAAGTGATTTCATTTGTCAGTTTAAGGTCGCTTTGTTTACAAGATACGAAAAAAAACAAGATATTTTTACTGTGACATCTACTGTTAGAGTGCAAAACCAAGATGACAGTCTGTCCAAATAGCTACATGGCTAATTCAGATTTCAATCCCTCTTTGGCTGACATCAATGCTGACAGCCAAACACACAGCAAGATATTCTTTGTCTCAAACCAGAAAATAACTCAGGCTGTCTCTGTTGCTGAAATGAAATCTTACTCTGAGTAATTCAAAGATTCTTCTCAGAAGGTTTGACTGGATCCTTCAGCCTATAAACTATGCAAGGAGTCAAATAGATAAACCTTGTTTTACAATTGTTCCTGAAGAAGAGAATGTGTCCTGATTCAGTAGTACAGTATGCCAATAGGACTGAGCTGTTACTGGTGAGTTGCACACTCCTTCAACAAAATGGCTCCCTCGCTCTTCAGTTTAGTGTTATTACCTGGGAGAAAAATCTTTCTTTTACTACATTTATCCAGCCCTGGCGTGTCTAAACTAGTTACATATCAAACTTGGAGTCACTTTGACGACTCTCCTCCTAACCTGCTCAGGCCTCTACAAGCTGTAACTCTTGGACATCAAAGAGTTTAACTTGGGAAAAACTACAGTATATCCCATCACTGATAGCATCTACTGTTCAGATACGATAAGGACACATTGTCTTTGTCTGGAATTTGTTCTTTCTGCTATGTTCATTATAACCTCTATCCCTTTATTTTCTCTCTCTGATTAGGATTGCGTTCCGTCCTGCTTAATACCCCATCCCATATTCTACTGCACCCTCTTATAACATGAATCAGAAATAGTCATTGGAAATGGGACAGCTCTCACGAAGAACCATGGCTTAATTCAGATTTTGTTCTCCACAATAAAAAAACAGCACCAATCAGATGTTTTTCAATGCTCTGGGCAAAAACATTTATTTATGTGTCATTTGGGTCTTGTCCTTTTTTTGGTCTCATTCCCACTATAAAAGGTCAAAACCTCCTTTGATTTGGAATTGGCATCCTGGAAGGCAGATTGATGGTAAAGCTTTATAGCTTAAGTTAATACACAATCACCAGCAACATGTTCACTCTCACGAGTTTGTGAACACTGACACTGCCTTATTTCCCCACAGTGTATAATTACATAGACGAACCAAAATAAACTGTAAAGCTATTTGAAAAAACATTTTAAAGAGGTTATTAACATTTGTGCAGATTCATGATCAAACATGATCAAGCACTGTACACCAGCTACTCCACATAAAAGAATGACTCTTTTAACTCTGCATACTTTACAGAGGTCTTGATGAAACCAAACCTCTATATGATATGTGTTTGTACTTTTTTACAGAGCTGTTCCCACGTTTGAGGAGCACTGCTGTTTTCTTACCAAATCCTGTATCTCTCTATAATCTGTACTCCACTGGGTCATGCACAGTTTATATAAATAGTTCTTGTCCAGAAGTTCAAAGGCAGTAATAACCACTGGTCTCCTTCATCCGGCTTTGGCCTGTGGCCTTGGACTTCTGTCAACTCAACGATGACATGGACAGTTACTCAGAAAGTGGCAATCAGTTGATCCATGTCTAACACTGTCTTCCTTCTCGAAAACACTTACAGTGATGAAGCACAACACTGAGCGCAAATGAGCCAAGTCAAAGCACACACATAGCGGTTATCTGTCGTTTTAAACACAAAAGCTCTGGCATTATCAAAATAACATACAGTATGTTTATTCTCGCTAAGGTGATGCAAAACTCTTGAAATTGTCACAAAAACACCTGCAAACCACATATTTTATTTCTCAATAATTGTTTTCAATGATAAATGTCAATCAATGATGACAAAATCAAGCTGCAGAGGGTTAAATACGATAAGACT